GTGTACTATAAAATCAGAGCAAGTTTAGCGGGATAACAAATGAACTACTATAAATCTTTTCATAGAGTAATATCGTTACAGACTGTTTAAAGATATCCTGTATTTCCATAGACAATAGGATTATACTTTTGAATAACTGTTTCTTTTCGCGTAACCGTTCGACCCGACGTATTAAATTCTCTTAGTAACCATCATACGAATTCAACGCAATCCGTGTTCAACCTTATATAAGTGAACGATAATACCAACGTTTTATAATTCCGCGTGGCTACTATGGTCTTAAGCGAAAACCTTGCCAACAACTCGTGCCAAACAAACCGTTGATTCGTATGTGGACGCATATTCTGATCGCTTCCCGTCGATTCAGGGCCAGATTTAGAGACCCCGGGGCAACAAAGGAGTGGAGGCCACTTGCTCCCAAATTATTTTCTTTTAATTTCTGTTAATATTTAATTTAATTATGTTTGTACAAAGTACTGTATGTAATATGCAAGGTAAAGTTGTTTACTATTGTTTACTCGTCTGATTTTTTTGGATTTTATTGTGGAGGCCCCTCGTTAGTGGAGGCCCGGGGCTGTTGCCCCGGTTGCCTTCCCCTAGATACGGCCCTGCCTCGATTTGTGCATCTTATATTTGTTTACACAATGTGTTTATGTATCTATCACCTAGTCTAGGCTATTTACTTTCCGCAAATCAAGAGCGTCCATGTCACGTTTGATTTTAGAAGTCACAGAAACCTCTATTATAATCACATTAAAACCCGCGTTTAAAAGTTTTATCCGGTTTTATACAGACTTGTAAAAAACCGGAATGACGGAAAAGTTAATGAAAAAAAGTAGACTTCCCCTAATGATTTTCGAATATCAAAAATGTTTATAACGTAACTTATGGCTATTGAAGAACGTTCATCATAAATTAATCTGCCGAATTGGGTAATTTGAATAAATTTATATTTGCATATAAATATATGTAGGCTATTAATGAAATGGATTTCGCACATTCTTTTTGTCTCTTTATTAAACAAATGATTGATTTTAGTTATAAAGTTTATTACTAGTAACACATTGAAATTTATCTATAAAATAAAAGAGAAACGTATAAGATATCACGTTATGTATAACACAATTGTCTCAAGTCGTATAAACTTAATGTGCTTTAATTTATCACAATTGTATAACAGCTTTCTCATATTTGAACGAAACGAGAGATTTTTTTCAATATAATAGAATGCTTAAGACGTATTGAGGTAGACAGACACTACTAATACAATTCACACTTCACCGAGCGTATGTTGTCTCAAAATCACAGTTAAGTAAGCCTTGTATAAACAAAATCGCAAATTATACGCCTAACGGCTGGGCGCTTTGCTTGCCAATATGAAAAATATTAATAACGGATTGTGGTCCATAAAACAAAGAACATATTGTAACTAAATAAACAGGCGTAAATAATATTAGCTCTTATTACACACAAGCAAAATTTCAAATTTGGAACACTCAAATCAATCGACCGAAATTGATGTTGCATACTTGTGAATCCACACTTGTAAATGTTGAATCGCACGTAATTGGCCCCTGGTGCCGGATACAAAGCGTATCAAAGCCAAGCTTTGCTATAAATTAGCATACAATGCGGCTCGATGAAGGTGTAGTCCTGATTTCGTAAATAACTCGTCACACGCACTGTTGACTTTTATTGTCACTTACCTAACTCGTAATAATACTCAAAACCAATATCAACTTCGACTATTTCGTCATTCATGCTATCATATTACGTCTAGTTGAAAAACACGTAAATGTTTCCGCCAATAACAGTTATAGAATCATTACTTAAATTGAAATTTAAAATGAAATTTTGGAACCGCTGTTCAAAATCAGGAAAAATTTGTTGAAAGATGTAGGTAGGTATTCGAGATAATATTAATAAAACAATATTTCGAATACTACTTCTACAACACTTTCTAACACTCTTTACAGCTCAGTTAGAAAATCTGTACTCAACAGTGACCTTCATGTAACTTTAACAATAACTTTTATAAATACTGTTGAATGTTCTATAGCCGAGGAGCTTTACAGTACTTACCTCGGACATTTTATTACATTCAAGATCCAGCAGACACTAAGCATGATTCACTTTCGCTCCGAAGTCGACCCCGAGCTCTATAAATTTATATAAAAGATAAAGGTTATCTACACTTTATCAAGAAATTCATTATTATAAAACCGAGCTACTAACATAGGCCGTCAATAATGTTGACTTAACTATTAACAAATAAAAATTTCCCTAACCACCCAATGATGTTTTAATGTTTGTATTATAATTTCACCCTTGTGGTAAACGCACAATAAAGCTCATTCCTTCATTAGCTTCTTATCCTTGAAAAATTTTTTTCCAACTTTTTCGCGAGTTTTATGGTAATGATCACGGGCAAATAAACATTATCATGGATATTATAAAATATTCTGTATAAATATCGATTTTGTGGTGTAATATCTAATATACCTATTAGTATTCAATAGACCATATTAGTTCTAACTGAAACTTTAATCCACTTATTTATTAATCCACTAATTATTTAGTATCTTTCACATATGTTTTTAGGTTCGTGATCAAAATTGCTGAATAATATTCTCACCAGATCGTTTTGCTGATTATAATAAATATTTATTTTTCTTAGGCAATATCTAATATATTGACAATATTATTCGCATTACATAACGCCTTTGCCTTAAAGCTTAAATATAAGGGTATTATTTATAACGTGTCATAAATCATTAAACATTTTCCTAAAGATATTATCATAGCATATTCTCGGGGTTGTCAACAAAATAAGCAGACCCTTAACGCTAATACACAAGGTAAACTGCGTTACAGTAAGACGGCTGTGAGTCGCAGGCTCACATCTCTAATCCTATCAGATTGATGGATCGGGTCGACCCTCGCGCGCCGAGCAATGGATAACAGGGGTAAATATAGGATGTCTAAGGCAATATTCTATTGGCATAGGACTGTTGGACATTGTTTGCTAAAGCTTAACACTGCTCTCGCTTAAATAAAAAGGGAAAAGGTGAATTAGCAATTCATCAAATCATTAGCTTTAAATATAGTTATGTTTTTTATATAATTTATTCTCTTCTTAATTTTGTTTAAGTTTCGATATTTTGTTTTCTTGACGAGGACGGGGTAAATAAATTTTTAAAATTGACATAAACAATGCCATAATCGAACTTCAATGAAGTTGTTGACTTTTTAACCGAAACTTAATAAGTTTAGGAGTTAGACGGTTGATGAAAATATTTAAGTGCAAATTCCGAAACCGAAATCCTTATCTGTCTATCTCTCTGTCCGTCTGTCCGTCCCTCTGTCACCAAGCTGTATCGCATGAACCGTGATATTTAGACAGTTGCAATTTTCACAGATGATGTATTTCTGTTGCCGCTATAACAACGAATACTAAATAACAGAATAAAAAAACATTTAAGTGGCTCTCCCATACAACAGACATGAGATGCGAAATTTAGATGCCCTTCGATTATGTTCCCAAACGAAACTTCATATCGCACAGATTGGATGGAACATTATTAGTGCCACCATCTTACCGCATTTGTGAGCCCTCGGGTGTTGCAGGTGTTCATGGGTGGCGGTAATCGCTTACCATCAGGTGAGCCTCTTGCTCATTTGCCCCTTTTCTCCATTAAAAAGAACTGGCGTAGGAGAGGGTAGAATTGTAATGGTCCCTACTACTAATACCCACCGTTACAATTTTCTATTAAGCTGCAATTTCCTATTAAGTTTTGTTTCGCTATGAGCAAACAAAGCGCTTGGGCAAACTTTAAAAGTAGCGGTGGTGAAGTTAGAAAAACCTTCTCCCATTGTCAATTGTATGCAGAAAGTTCGCTTGTGTCCAATGCCCAGAATCATCATATTCTATCCCCCAAACAGGAAGACAAATATTATCTACAGTAGCGTATTAAAATTGTGCTCTGTTTTGTGTCGTAAGCTGTGGAAATACATCAAAAGACCCCTTTGGAAAACAAATCACAATTACATGCGCTTTCCACGTTAGAATTGTCTGTGCGCAGGCAGGATTCACCAGATGCTCACCGGCATTTACAGCACTCAATCCACATTTAGCTAAAAATGAAGGTGGAAACGGTAGCAATAGTTTTGTTGCTACCATTATATATTGCACATTTGGTTGAATTTGGGTATTTGATTTTTTTGTTTCCTCATAAAGCCATGTCATCGCTCCTTTGATATTAAAAATAAAGTTTTAACTGACTCAACATTTTGCAATCCTGCGAGTTCTTCTTGATACTGCATATTTGATATATCAGACAAATTTACTAACATTGGCTGTATCATCCATGTTGGAAGATCAATTTGCTTTAAATCAGAAAATATTTCATTTAAATTAGCGGATACAATATGCAGATGATTGACAATAATAAGTATGAGATAATGTGACCACTACGTTTATTGGTTGCTATCGGCGTTAAAGCATGATGAAGTTGTTTGGTACGTAGCATGGTAGACGATAGAGCACAAATCATAAAGTAAAATAAAAAAATCATAAAGCTTTTTATTGACAGATTAAATGTAGGTATGATTGCGAAATATGGTATCGAATTTCAGAGGTTAGGGGTAGCAAATTTGTAAATCGGCTTAATAAGTTATTTTAATTGCACTTTATTTGACTTAAAGCGATATTTTGGTTAGTGCTATAAATTAGCACTAACCAAAATATCTGGCCAATCTCAGCTTCTGTAGCATAAATGATAGAGATTCGGCTACATTAGACTACTTATGCTGTAAAATGGCGACATTATGCTCTGCACTGTTGGCAGCACTGCCATGCCCATGTCATACACTCATCTGTCATTTGCATATTGTTTTGGTAGTAAATTATGGGTCATGCGAATTGTAATTTCGCTTGCTCAGCGACTGTGTGATTCTGTATTTTGTATTTTTGGTATTTAATAGTTTAATGAATTAATGTAATGGATCCAAATAAAACCAAAAGTGCTTCTGAAGGTATAGCAGTAAGTACAAAGATAATAAATCATTATTTTACGTCCTTATGTGAAAGATCGTTACGACTCGTTATTACAAAATAAAGTCACTGAACAAATGAATGAAATTCCATGGTATTTTTGGTACTTAATGAAAAAAAAATTAAATACAATTCCTGCTAGCGCAGTGTACAGCTAACGTCCACTTTATTATGATCGAAAAAAAAAATAGAGTAAAATATTAACCGTAATAAAGTTTTGTTGGTGGTGTTTATTGCATATACTTAATATCAGCATTTTTTTTTTTTTATGCGAAAAGTTGTCAAACGAGCAGACGGTTCACCTGATGTTAAGTGAATACCGCCGCCCATGGACATCTGCTACACTCGAGGGTTACAGATGCCCTTGACAACCTTTTGAAAATTGGGCTCCGGCTACCTCACTCACCAGACGAAACGCGAAAGTATTTGTCATACTTCCACTTTACGCCGGTCTTCTGTGAGGTCGTGGTACTTACCCGGACGGGCCTGCCCATTCGTGCAACAGCCGAGGCTGCTGCGTGGCCCTAACACTTTATTGTTTTGCAGCCCATGGGCATTACAGCTTTAAATGAGGTAGTCCTTAGTGACCAGCCAGAATCGAGATATGAATGCCCTGTATGTCTCAATTGGCTTAGAGATCCAGTTATCACAACATGTGGACATAAATTCTGCAAAAGTTGCATAACATCGTGGCTGCAGTAAGTTATCATTTCCTTTTTTATATCAATTATTTGATTAATTTAACAGAGAGAATTCATATATATTCTTAGTCAGAATAAGTAAAACAAAACATTTGATATAAACATCCCGGGCTCCCTAAAAATAAACTCTCAAAAATACTTCATTGACATCTACACTCTTACATTTTTCCTAGTTTATTAAGTGACTAATGTAAACTATTAAGTAATTAATGAGTAATATAGATTCTATGAGATGTTGTAATATTTACCTAACCAATCACTATTTCAATTTTATTTATGAATTAGGTTTTATGTAATTTGAATACATACCTTAAACTGAAAAGTGGTTACATACCAAAGGGAAAAACTAATTTGATAGGCTAATGAGCTCAAATTTTGCTCAAATTTCCCTATAATAAAAAATATTTGGCACTGAATCTTAAAATCAAATAATTAGTTTATATCTTTTAGTCAATGTTATTTGAAATTGGAGGACATATTTGGTACAATTCGTCTAAAAAGGTTGTTAGGAGGGAGGTTTATATGAAATAATATGACTAAAATGCTTGTCCATTTTTAACCCTAATACAATAGAAAGAGATGGCTAAGCTTGAAAAAATGCTAAGATTCTATCATTGCTTTTTTTCTACTTCAGAAACAGTGGGCATTGCCCAATTGATAACATCAACCTTAGCATGAAAGTCGACATTTTTCCTGACAACTATACTAAAAGAGAGATTCAAGAGCAACGGATGTCATGCCCTTTTGCAGCAAAAGGTAATTAATTATTGATACATTAGGTCTTCCTCTTATTATAGAATTATGTCTTAAGTACAATGAGTAAAGAAAATGTAATATATTGACTTTTCTTACTGTCAGTTAAATTAATTATTTTGTGTTTGATCTATTATATTTGTTATATCTTGCAAAATTAACTAATTTTATCTTGTCTAGCAGTAGTGGTTCTTTTTGGCCTGGATTTAAATTTATTGATAATAGAATCCCATGTTGATAGTAGCAGCCAACCGTCTTCTCTAGTTTAAATTAAAAATAAACTTGATAAAATTTGTAAACATAGTTTCATTTAGTAATGTGTAATCGCGTAAATATAAGAAATTATTTTCTTTTGATTCTTTAAAAAAACTATTTTTTTCATTTGATGGTAAAATCTGAGTTTAATTTTGTTTATGTGCAATATTTAATGTACTAATAGTTCTTGAATGGCAATCCTATATGACTGTAATTTATTTACAAGATATTTATTACGAAGATAGTAAAATTGTTACCAAAACAATATTCGTGTTTTTTTTCCATTGATCAAGGCTGCAATGTTAAAGTGACTCCTTTGGATTTGGATGCCCATATATCATCCTGCCAATACAACCAACCTGAGGCATCATCGCAGCCTGTGGTAAGAGTGCCGTGCTCCTTTCAAGCAATGGGTTGTAAGGAGACATTTGATAGCCAAGAAGAGATGAACAATCACCTCCACAAGGACATACAGAATCATATGAGTGTAAGTTATATTAATATCTCAAAATGTAGACTTACTAATTGTTTTTAATGTAATAATTTGCATCAGATAGCAATTACACAGGAAACTACATAGAAACAAATTTAAAGCACAAATGATATGTGCTCACATTCAAAAAACATTCTTTTTAATTACCATATATTTCAGATTAGATTATTTTGAATTTTAGAGATTTTTGAAATATAAACGAAAGATGGATTTGAACCACTCACTTTCCTCACTATGGGTCCATTACTACATACTAGGTCCATTTTGGATTTGTCCCATTCTTAAAAGAAATCCACAGTCCTATGACTCAGCTAAGATGCAGTTGCTAAGTGATGTGCCTCCGTGCCAAGGGTCGTCTTCAACCAGAGAAATGTGAGACCCACAAGTAATTGTTCCAATCTGAGAAATCATTCTGGGTTGACAAAACAATACATCTAAAAAACTGATTTACTGAGTCTTGTGTTGACCACCCTAAGTGGGATAAGAGCAAGAAAAAAAATACGCGTTGGCCCCACTAATAACCACTAAATTAATCGAACACAATGTTATGATGTGCCTGATATCAAAATCCTTTTTTTATCTTGTCGAGAATCAAACTTAATGCTTGCTGTACGATAGTTCTCAAGTAAATGGTTGAGAATTCTGTAACCAGCTGATTTCTTTTGCAGTACCTGATGAACGCCTATTCAGAGATAAAGATCAACAGCGACATATCGAACGCGAGTATCGACACGAAAGAGCAGGAAGCCATGAATTTATGGGAGGCCCCCGATAAGGACGGAGGACAGAGCTCTTCGGCGCCTCTCACCAATACCAGTGCTCTCATAAGGTAGCATCCCTTGCCACACAAATCATACCATAATGCACCATTTACGATATGCAGGAAAGGCAACAAGTTATATACACTTTTAGTTCCACTTAATTTATTATATTTCCACTGTTGTTATTCAAAAAAATATATTAAACAAATTGTTGTAATTTTTAAGAAAACTTAACCATTTTATGAACAATCCCAGTGATAATAAACCATTATCATGTTGAATATTTGAGAATTGTGACATTTTTTCGGGATTGATGGGAAATGATCCCGAGCCACCTGTACATATCAACTGTACTTGGGGAGACTGCTCAAAAGGCTGAAAAAAAGGCTAGTGGCAAAACTCAGTTTTACCACTAGTGAAACAACGTTAAAAACACTGATATACGACAAGCATTCATCTCGATATACAAGCAGAAAAGAAATTGTGTGGTTTTATGAAATCATAATGCTAGTGAAACTTTTTTTCGAATCGTAGACATTTAACTGAAAATTTTCAGATAAATATTAATATTATTATGAGTCGATTATCAAATAATGAATAATTCACATTTAGTATAACTACACGGTTATACTAAATGTAAATTATTTTTAACAGCCATAGGTGCCGCCATATTGGCCTCGGCTGCTCTGCAGAGCGCCTTTCACTTTACCCCCTACTCCGCGGCCGGTTGTAATGCGACATGCTATAGATGGACGAAAAAATTTGAGGCGACGGGAAATAAAGTTTCGTCAGCTTAACAATTCGACAGACAGACGATAGTAATAAAAGGCGGCCATAAAGGCCTTTTCTTACGTGGGAAGATTCCTTTATGGATCCCCAGCCGCCTTGTTTGTAGGCAGCGGGGGTATTTGGAAGTCCCCAGGAACACGGGGCTACCCACTAAAAAACCCACGTTGCACCTGAGTTGTCGCTTTTGCCGAGGAAACTGGAACACGAAAAATCGGTAGTCTTCCGCGAACCCCGACACAAATGCGGCCTTCTCAGGTCTCCTCTCCCGGGTGTTAGGGACACCGGGCCAGCCGCATAGTGCCGTACCGGTGCAATGGTCACGGCGCCCCTGTCGACCCCTCCACGGGGCAGCAGTAAGGCTCGCTATCAAGGGAAGAGAAAAGGCCCATACTAACGCAAGCTCCCGCAGGGCGCTGTACGAGCGCGTGGTGGTCCTCGAGCAGAGGAACAGGGAGCAGGACATCGTGATAGCGAACCTCTCGAAGCAGCTGTCCGCTTTCGCCGTGGCCAAGGTGAAGCAGAACGGCGACATGCTGCTGCGCTACTGCATGGGCAACTACATCTGGAAGGTGGACAACTTCGCGGCCAGGCTGGACGCGATGCTGAGGGACCACTACAAGATGCTCTACAGCCCCGGCTTTTACACCTCGCCGAACGGATACAGGTGACGGTTGAAGCGGATTATCCATTATTATTTTTTTTATGTGAGAAGGTGGCAAACGATCCTGCCTTTCGTTCGTTAAGTGATATCTCGGTGATGGCTCAGTGTCTGGGCGCAACTCGAGCAACCTGAGTTCGATCCCCGGTGCCGGCACCAATGAAATTGCAAATTTTAAGTGCTGAATTATCACGTGCTCGGCGATGAAAGAAAACATCGTGGGGAAATCTTGCATGTTTTCGAAATAATAACAAAATATACCTTCGAAATATATATTTCGAAGATATGTGAAGTCGCCCTATCCCCAGTGGGACCGCATGGTGGACTATGCCCTGATACCCTCTGTTTAGAGGAGGCCTTTACCCAGCAGTGGGACATGTATAGGCTATCAGCCTATACATGTCCCACTTTACGTGAAAACTTTCAGATTCTGCGTGCGCCTGAACATATCGCCGCAGAACCCGCTCTTCTTCGCGCTGCACGTCCACCTGATGCAGACGGAGAACGACGACTGCCTCGACTGGCCGTTCAACGGGCGCATCTCCTTCGCCATGGTCAACCAGCGAGACCCGCAGATGACGCAGAAGGTTGCTATACAACGATATCATCTATCTTCTTCTTATACAGCGTGTCGTTACCATCGCGACAAACACACGTCTAACGCTACTTGCCAATAATCATAAAAAAATATTAACGTTAAACAAAATCCATAATTAAAAATAAATATTTTTCAAACAAACTAATTAAGTAAAAAAGAAACAAAATTTGTAACATCCTATACAACTCGCGCCATTGCGTCGCATTACAAGCCTCTTCCTCTAACAGTATGTTTTGTCTATTTTAAATTCATTCAACCCATTCATATGCTTTGTGACCTTTACAAATGAACTTTACGTTACAGTTTTATACGTAAGGGTGTTCTAAAATTGTTTGTTTTGGAAAATTTAATAACTCGGTAAATATTGATGTTTAAAGAATGTAAATGTTTAATACAATTTTAAAAAGTTATCCCCTATATGTGTGTACACGCTGTATATAAAAATTAATTGCTGTTCGTTAGTCTCGCCAAAACTCGAGAACGGCTGGACCGATTTCGCTTATTTTGGTTTTGAAATATTTGTGGCAGTCCAGGGGAGGTTTAAACGATGAGAAATTATGGAAAATTGCATGGAAATTATAAATAGCAACAATTTCATTTTCCCATACAAACTGTACCTGTCAACTTTATGCATGTGTTCTGAAAATTCTTTTTGAAATTTGTCAATCTGAACACATGGCAAAACAACATTTGCCGAGTCAGCTAGTATAATATAAATGCGACGTAGATATCACTTGTATTAAAATCACGCCAATTTGTGTATTCTATAACTGCTATCTCTTCCCGTATCATATGTTCCATATCATCTGTCACATTTACTTATATATGTCATATAATGTAAGATAGAACAATTTTGAAATTGTTACTCACAATATGGACATGGGTCATCTATGTTATTAAACATCATTGTTGCTTAATTCAAAAACCTTGTAAAGGAATGTTTACCTGTTAAAGCCTGTTAGAATATTAGTGATTATTTAAATGATAACATACTCTGGAAATTAATGGATCACTCCAGGCTCTTTCAAGCTGAATTTAATATATTTAAATGTTTTAGGAAGGACATTTTTCAATATTTCTCTAGAGAATGTTGTGTTAATAGGAACTTGGGACTAGTCCCAAACTAAGCAAAGCAACACTTGAACTATGGGTACTAGATACCTGATAACATACTTAAACATACTTTTGTTTTGTAAATAAATACATATAATTATATAAACACCTGAACACTGGTAAAACACTATGTTCATTACACAATATATTTCCAGTAGTGGGGATTGAACCCACGCCCTCTGGCGCAAGAGGAACCTTTACTACCCACTATGCCAATCGGGTCTTCAATTTATAAGTTTTTTTTTTAATTCTTGTCAAACTATATTAAAAAAAAATTGTACCACCGAGTTTCTTTCGCCGCTTCTTTTGACAATCAATAAATAAGTGGAATGCATATTGAATGAAGATATTTTTCATGTGGCTTCTAAAACACACATTTTACTCGGTTAAGGAATTTCTAGATCATAAATAAAATAAGTATTGACATGTTTAAGTACATATTATAAAATCTTGTATCAATTTAATCTATAATAATAATTGTATTTTTTTATATGAAATATAACACTAGTTATGAAATACTAAATAACGAATGCATGCCATATATTATGGCTGAACTCGGAGGTCAATAATTTTTGTAAATCAACATCTCAATCACCCAGTTCAATGGCAAATGAAGATTATTATTATTGTTCAACTCGAAGGACACCATGATGTCCAACTCGACGCTGGTCGCGTTCAGGCGGCCCACCGCCGAGATATGCGTGCGCGGCTTCGGGTACACTGAGTACGCGTTGGTCAGCGACGTGGTGCGCAACGGGTTCGTCAAGGGCGACGTGCTCCTCATCAAGGTGAGCGTTCGGTGCGTGTGACGATGACTGTACCTTTTTTTTTGCGGCATTAGTACAGTCGCGGCAGTCGAGGCGATCCCCCGTAAATAATTGTTAATTATACCTATACTTAAGGCGCTGTATGCAGTGAATTTTTAACTATTTGGGTGGTGAAGTATGAGGAAGCGGAGGAGGGGTAACGCCGCTTAGCGGCGCGCAGCGCGCGAGTTTCGTCGACGCGCCGCTAGACCATTCATTACCTCGTGTGTAGTGATGGGCCGTAGGACACTATCGATAGTATCATGGAAGGCTTTCGAAAATGTACACAGATGATCCCTATAATATCTTTTATAGACCATGATTGTACTTTACTTTTATATTATTATAAGAATAATAATAAACAAACAAATATAAAGTATGAGAAAGCAATCAACAATTTTAGAAAAACTTCCTATTACTTATTTTAAATTATCAGGAAACGGATTAGAATTGACTAAAAATACATCTTAAGGTCAAATAAATTAATAAAGACAAATGACATTTCTTACAAAAAAACAATAAATAAACGAATAATTATTTATTTTCATTTAAAGTTTAATTACGCAATTTCATAGTCTCCACGGCAGAAATTACGAATACGACTTTTTTATTACATATTTTCTTAAACTTTATATCTTTAATTTATCCTTTAAATGTGAAAGACTTACTACGTTATATTAATTCCTCAATGAAATTATATTTAAAAAATTATCGATAAAATTCCTTATATCGATAAACGACAACAATTATAACTAGAATCGAAATATTGTTCCCTTCTGCAGATATCGTGTAGCCTATTGGTCCGAGCGTCATGGTTGATACATCTTTTTCCAATTTTAATTTGTTAATCAATTTATTATTTTGTTGTTATTTGATAAAATGTGGAAAATACAAAAATTATAAAACAATTATTTTTCGTGTTCGTAAAAGAATAGTTTTCGTTTTAGGGTGAAAAATTAAATATTTTAATAAAACAAATTAAAAACAATATACAATATAAGACTTGTTAAAAATTTTAAATAATGAAAACTTGATTTATTATCTGATAGATTGTTCTCCAACTGTTGCGTTCTACGTTCAACAAATGCAATAATATTTCGTTGTAATTATTTATAAAAATAAAAAAATCAACAAAATTTAAATGGTAAATTAAAAAAAATACCTACAAAAAGAAAATCACCAAAAAATATATCAAAGAGAAATGTAGGGATTTGAACCAAATCCCTATAGAATGATGATCCTTTACACAGTGTTACCAACTGTTCAAAAATAATACTCCTAAAACAATTCGAAAACCGACTAAAATTTATTAAATTCAAACAAAAATTTCTAAATTGAAAATCAGGATTTTTTTTTATACTATAGGAAAAGGCAAAATAATTATCTGATAAAATAGATCATGGTCAAGAACATCAAATATAACATAATTCATTTGAAATGAATATGTTAAGAATAAAATCAAAACAATTTTAAAAATTATTAGAATACATAAAATATTCATACCACGGCACTGAATTTTTTTTTAAATAAGTTGTTTTGTGTAGTTTTTTTCGAAAATGTGAATAAAATTTAACCCCTAAAAAAATATTCCCATAAAAATTTACCTCCCAATAAACTTCCATTCCACATTTTTTATTCCTAAATTTCGGAAGAAAATTCCTAAGTTGGCATCCCTGCCTTTACACTGTATAGGACTGATAAACTTATCAATGACAAGATAAGATATTGAAATTACGCTTTAGTTGTTAATTCATACAAATAATTAAAAATACGAAATATGTGAATATATATTTTTTAGTTTCGTATTTCGAAAGATCTAATAAAATTATAACCCTCAATAATAAATAAATATGGAACATATTTCGTAACGATGAGCGGAAGACGAGCGGCATAGGTCCATCTAGCAAGGCGCCTCAGCGCTCTCTGTTCAACGTGTGGAGTTGGAAGAGAGCCGAAACAACGCCGCGGTGACGCGGTGTGTGGTGGCCAAAAGCCATCGCGTTCGAATTAATTTTAATGAATTAAATTAATATTTAGAAATATCTTACATCAATCAACAAATTAAAACAACAATCCTTTTTATTAATATATTCTACACCACTGATATTAATTTCATTAAGATTTGTTCATGTATTACGTTCATTTTTGGTTTTGAATTTCTCTTTTAGAGGTAGTTTCATGATTTTTTTCTATCGAGAAAATATATCGAGAATATGTTTTGGAAACAATTTTCCCTTAGAATGTACGATCAAGATTAACATATATTTTTTTGCTGCTATAAAATGTGTAGATTTTGCTACAAAATCTTTTGAAAAACCTATTTTTACTGCATACAGCGCCTTAAAAGGGTCTGTAATACGATCGCCCGTAAATAATTGTTAATTGTATATTTAAAAGGGTCTGTAATTTTTTTTGGACCATTCCGTGTATACGTGAATTAGTTTTCATCTCGTGTTTTTTTTTTTTTATTTTATTGAAGATAAGTTTTATAGCTTCGATCTTGAATGTCGATAGAAGTGCATCAGGACAGCCCTTTTTTTTATGTCTCAGTACCTAATAGTACCGCGTTGGAGGCTCTCGCCGTACTTTATTGTAAGTTGTGTACTTAAAAGCGTCTGTAATATTTTTTGAACCATTCTATTTATGTAAGGGAAGTAATTTTTATCGCGTTTTACTTTCGTTTTATAGTTTTTTGAATGTTGATGGAAATGTGTCCTTCGAGGCTTTTTAATATATGGTGCCTTTTTGGTGCCACCGATTTTGACTCATTACAATCTTAATATTTGACTGATTGTCATTGAGTATCATACATAAAATAATGTTTCCGTCCGTTAGATGGTAAGATATTAAATGAATTTTGTGTTTTTACTAAATTCTAATAAACAACATTTTTACTACCTAAGGTCTTAATATTTGACTGATTGTCATTGAGTATCATACATAAACTAAGGTTTCCGTCCGTTAGATGGTAAGATATTAAATGAATTTTGTGTCTTTACTAAATTCTAATAACAACATTTTTACTACCTAAGGTCTTAATATTTGACTCGTTGTCAATGAGTATCTTACCTAAAATAATGTTTCCGTCCGTTAGATGGTAAGATGTTAAACCAATTTTCTGTCTTTACTAAATTCTAATAAACAACATTTTTACAACCTAAGGTCTAAATATTTGACTGATAGTCATTGAGTATCTTATCTAGAATAATGTTTCCGTCCGTTAGATGGTAAGATATTAAATGAATTTTGTGTCTTTACTAAATTCTAATAAACAACATTTTTACAACCTAAGGTCTAAATATTTGACTGATAGTCATTGAGTATCTTATCTAGAATAATGTTTCCGTCCGTTAGATGGTAAGATATTAAATCAATTTTCTGTCTTTACTAAATTCTAATAAACAATATTTTTACTACCTAAGTTTACTAAATTCTAATAACAACATTTTTACTACCTAAGGTCTTGATATTTGACTCGTCTTCAATGAGTATCTTACCTAAAATAATGTTTCCGTCCATTAGATGGTAAGATATTAAATCAATTTTCTGTCTTTACTAAATTGTAATAAACAATATTTTTACTACCTAAGGTCTTAATATTTGACTGGTTGTCATTGAGTATCTTACCTAAAATAATGTTTCTGTCCGTTAGATGATTGATGATTTTAAACCAATTTTCTGTCTTTACTAAATTCTAATAAACAACATTTTTACTACCTAAGGTCTTAATATTTGACTGATTGTCATTGGGTATCTTACCTAAAATAATGTTTCCGTCCATTGGATGGTAAGATACTAAAGAAATTTTCAGTTACTAAATTCTAATAAATATTTATTATTATTTCACCTAAGGTAAGGTAAGTGCAACCATAAAAGTAAGCAGTAAAAAATACTACTATTTTTTGTACAACTGTTCACAAAGTATTAATTATGTTATATTATTTTTAAGAAACAATGTTGTATTAATAATAAAATTTATGATGTTACCAATTGATGTATTATTTACAGTTATTGTTCTCAAAATGTACTTAAATTTGTTTAGGAATATTCACATAAGTCTAAACAAGACCTCATGTTATACTTTGGACAAGCAATATTTGTAATAATTTTTACATGCATGTGTTGTTTTTTATTCTATTGTTAATGTGGACTGTGTACTTGTGTTTTATTTCGATTTTACTGTAAAATGAAAAACTATACATGATACATATGCGAAAAATATAGTTGTTTTCCTTTCAAAATATACTAGATTCTAGAGACCCAATTCTAGCTTCTAGTCAACCTAAATTGTATAGTCAGAAGAGACCATCTTACAGAAATACGGTCGACTCGGCGTTGTCCTAATTTTTTTTAATTCTGTATTTTTCAAGCCATATTTTAATCTTACAAACTTGCGAGGATTTTTGCTGTGAGACCTTTGATTGTGTGCTCAATTTTATATACAAATTTATTAGCATAGTCTGAGAATATTTTTTCGGATTCAAATGTTTATAAATATCGTACACAAGGCTCTAGAGCACTAGATAGTTGGCAAAATTAATAAGGTATTGAAAAGTATAAAACAAATCAGTATCTTGTCTACCCACATTTTATTGGAGGCACATTTTACAAAATATTACAAATTTTATTCGATTATAAGCTGAATTTCTTATTAAAATATAGGAATAATATGTCTTAAACAATAAAAAAAATACGGCTAAGGTCACTCTATCACATTCAGTCATCACATTTTCACTCTAAACTACAAACTACAATATTTGACACATTAAATGGCGTCAAAACTTACTTAAATGTTTAAGTGCTTAAAAATAGGGAAAGGTTAACGAAATGATATTGACATAAATGAAATCAAAAACTTAATTCCCGTCTCCCTGTGAAATTTCCATAGAAAACAGACAATAAAAAAATTTGGTAAAACGCGTAAACTGTTTTTGTATTAGTCTTAAATAAATAAATATATACTAAATTTTTGGTATTTAACCAGACAATAGATGTAATTATAGTTTTATTATATATACGGCTCCTTTATACTTAAAACTGAATCTTATATAATTTATCACACAAAATGTTAACTTATTAACCTTACTTTATAATGTGCCCACTATACCGGACTAAGTTTGCACATTGCAAAAAATCATATCGTGACCTGGTGATTTAAGGTAAACAAGATTTTTTATTCCTGTCGAACGAGTTATTTTTTTTAATTCAGACATTAAACGATAACGGTGACTTCTAATGGCATGGAATGTGCATTCACAGAAAATAACCACAAAACAACTTGCGAAACTAGACCAATAAGCTTGACCAGAGACTAATGGAAGTGATAAAATGGCAATTATTTATAACCTCTAAAACTCTTAAAGCTTAAGAATTCTGAAAAAGAGCGGAATTACGCGAAAGAGAAGGTGCCTCTGAATAACTAATATAGTCCAAAGGTGGATCTGCAATATTTATCGCCGATTACTGTAAAATAATTAGAACTACGTGGAATACTAAAAGATAAATATTTAAGTTCAAAATAAAAAATGGCAATAACGTCATTCATTTGGGCTTCCAAAATTCTATAAAATTAACGTGACAACAGGTCTCTACACTTCAGATGCACAGCTGCTGTAAACTTAACAATTTTATGTTTTTGTTTATTAAAAATAAAACCACAACTATTATATGATATAAGAAGTGGACGCCCACTGCCCCAGGTAGGGGACATAGGATTTTAAGTCAATTAGTCTTGTACCAGGTCGATGTTCTAATTAAAAGAAACTAAACACACAATTAAATTAAATCAATTAAAAATTATTTATATTACACATTAACGCTTACAATAATGAGACCTCCTTTCAGAAAAATCATACGAAACATATCAACATAGAATAAACCCTAGTCAAGAATTTAATTAAAAAAAACCGTAATTCTGCACTTAATTCAATACATGAAAGCAAATTGCGGAGTAGTTTTTGACTTCTTCAACAAAACATTTAACTTACAGAATCTATAACTTGACGTCGAAAAGACTAAAAATAGTATCACAAAATCCTGTTGAATCGTTTCTATTAAATAAATTTTCATAAGCACACGATTTTCTCTTTGAAAAAAATTTGAAGAAATCGTATAACACGACTTAGGGGTTTCCACAAAGAAAAAAAACAGTTCAAATAAGGGAAATCAGGAGAACCATAAGTTTTATAAAAATAACTTCTCAAGATTGGAATGTGATATTGATAAAAAAATTAAGTGTAGGTATGCAGTGTTCAGGAAAAAGGTCATTTCGCATGATTTCCTGGCCTAACCTATTTCCGTAAATCATATTAAATACATATCACAGTTATATGAAATGCGTGTTTTGATGTATTGACGAAGGGATGAATTTATATCTTTATTTAATTGTAAGTGCGAGTTGTCCTCGCAATACTGCGGAGACACTCGAAATGAAATGCCATATTTGAAAAAGCAATAAATTATATAGAAAATATAAAAGTATTTTCAGAAATAACGATTGTGATTTATTTAATGTGAAGTTATCTTTTTAGCGCCGACAAAACGATATGGTGTTTATGAACTGTGATGATTCCATAACGAAAAAATTTTATCAAAAAAATATAACAGGACTTTGATATTCATATGTCGATATTCGTGCAGTCCATAGGGAATAAAAAGTACACTTAACCATCCTATACTATGACGTAATATGCATTAATATATAAAAAAGGAAGTGTGGCTTTTTAATATTCCTATTTCCATATTGGCCAGAAACATCGTAAAAACTCAATAACCGGTAATATTTGGTAGCTTATATAAGTTACTGTGATGCTTTGTGACTTTGTAAATGTATAAAAAAATCGCGATACAAAATTATAAATACGTGTATGGATATTGTAGATAAAAATCGATTGATAAATACACATCTCGATCACTTTAAAATCCACCTACTATATACTATAACTAATCCACTATAACTTATGAAATACAAAAAGCATTTTACGGTGTATTATATACATGTATATATACGGTACAAGTTAAGATAAAACAATTGATAAAGCTGTGACATGTATGAAAAATCACATTTCAGGGGGTAGCAACATCCATCGTCTCGTGCACAGTTCGATTTTCAAATCGACCGAGACCGAGACCGTTTTTGACAAACACACACTTCGCCTATCGAAATTACACCGTTTGTGCTTTTTAAAGACGCGCGCACATCGCTGTCGAGTGTACTCACACCGCTCGCCTTTTGAAAGCTGCGTTTCATACGGAACTAGGGATGTCGAAAAAAAACGATATAAAATATTCAATATCGAAAATCGTATCAAAACCATATTTTTTTTTTCAAATTCGAATCCGGCACAGAGTCCGTCATGTCAGATTCTTAATACTTCACATACTTTTTTTCTTTTTTTTGGACAAGTTTACTGCCGATATATCCGATATTTTCTCTTCGACATATCGAGGCCGATATTGAAATTTTTATAAATATCGATATATTTGTTCGTATTCGACATCCCTATACGGAACTGCTCGAGTCTCCGGGGAAGTGCATCAGGTTGTCTCCGCTGCAGCTGGGGGTCGGCGAGGAGGGCGGGTCCAGGGAAGCCCGAGAAGCAGAGCTGAAACTACTCGAGCTGAGCTCTTCAGGCTCTGCTTCAAAACGGCCGCCGCTCGCGTGACCTGTAAAAATAACTAGCGGTACTGGTAGGGCCACGCAACAGTTTTCGCTGTTTCACGAATTGACTACATTTTTTTATGTGAGATAGTGACGAACGAGCTGGCGGTTCACCTGATGTTAAGTGATACTTCACTCACCAGGCGAAACGCAGAAGCGTAACACAGGTATGTCCGGGTAAGCACAACGACCTCACAGAAGTGGTAGAGTACTTCTGCATTTAGTCTGGTTAGTCTTTATTATAAGGTGGCAACGCATCTGCAACCCTACGGGTGTTGCAAATGTCATTGGTTATCACGTATAATCGAGGTGATCCGCCAGCTCGTTTGCCACCTTTTCACATAAAAAAGTAAAGAAGCAGCCTATACATGTCCCACTGCTGGGCAAAGGCCTCTTTTGTATAAGGCATCCAAAACAACTCCCCCTGCGGATTGGCAGGCTTCACATTTTTTTATTATTTCGAAAATTATTATTTTACTACTACAGCTGTCACGGCTTTCATTGTAATAAGTCAGCCCATAAAAAGTAATGAGCAATTTAAATAATCGTTTTCTTCAATACCACGAAATATTATCGATCTCGATCTTAAACAACTTACTCCAATAATAGATTAAATAACTAGGCTGTTTTATCCCATTTCCATTGAATTTTGAACTCACTAGTTTTCTAACGTGTCATTTCATCAAAGCACCGTTGGAGTCGAAGATGAAATGAACGATTTTTTTTATATATATTAAATTACTGTAAAATTAAACATTAAGAAATTAAAAAAAAATTGTTCACCTACCAAAGAAGTACAGTTTTCATCCAGTTTTATTTAGTATTGATGCATATTAAAGAAGGGGCTCAAAATAAAAACACACTTGTAGATTTTGAATTTTCAAACGCCCATTTTATTATAATTCCAACAATTAAACATTCCATCATTATGTAAACAAAAAAGGATTCGAATGGAGGCAGCAAAATTATTACAAGTCAACATTTGGGTAATATAAAATGGGTCGATACAATCTACATAACGAGTTGCTCATTAGGTAGCGTTCACAAACCACGTGACCAGAAGTTTATAAAGTGAATTAAATAACATGTTCATTTAATTTTACTATTACCTTGAAATTTCCGAAGCCTAATATATAAATATAACGCTACATTAGGTACCGTGTTAATTAGAAGTTTCCTCCTATGGGTGTAAACGGAAAAACGTGGTTTATGCGTACACTCTTATTACTTTGAACTATGATTTGATTTTAAAATTGATAATAATTTTCAATAATAATTTCCTATTTGTTCAACACGAACATGTTAAGAAAAGGAATTATAATGTCCAACTGTAATATTATCGAATAAACATGTATTTACATGTTTGACACAAAAAAAAATATTTTTTCACAATTTGTATTGGCTAATAAAAGCAAAATATCCTTGGTGGTTAGAATCAGGCCTATGCAAGTAACATGGCTGAGCAAAAGATGAAGGTTAATTTGATAAACAATTTAAACTACTTTAGTCGACAACGCATCCAAATTTTCCAAATTTCTTATAATAATGCTTTTTTCAATTTTAAAAACGAAAACGTATTTTTATATCACATGTTGCCAAAAAAAAAAACTAACCTAAAAATCAATAACAATTAAACTTTGATTAACTCCCAAAAGTATTATGCACCAATTACATTTCCCTATTAGTAACTAAATATTAAAATTATTCAAATAAATATGCAGTGTAAATTTTTACAAAAATAAATATTTGTCATGTTACAAAAACATGGTAGGTGTAAATAAAAATAAGAAAAAAAAAAAATCTTTGTATATAATACTTAATTCAACTATAGCTGTGCATTGTCTTACATAAATAATGATGTAATAAATTGCGAATACAAAATGATCGTATGCCGCAAGGTGTTAATGCGATTTTTGTATACTATGTTTAGTGTTACACAGTGTTGCTTGTATAACTTACGTATAACTTATTTAGTTAGATCATTGTTTTTTCGCAATGCAACACAATTACTGAACTTTGTACATAGTGACAAGAAAGGTATCAAATACCAAATGAAGTTATTAGTTATAGTATCTTGGATAGCAATAAATAATACTGAGGTATATTTAATCGCATAATCAGTTAAAAATGTCAAATCATAAAAAATAACCCGATATTTTCTACGTAGGATTAATCATAAAGTCAAAATTATTCTAAAAACAATTAACAGATTTATACAAGAAATATTTTAGTTAAACATTCAAATTGAAATTAGTCGGGAATTAGGAAAAGTGAGTCGCAGAGTAAGCAAATAATCGAGATTCTACTACGTACAATTAAAAGAAACTGAGGTAATGGTAATATCTCACTGGCCATGGCTTACGTTGCAGTTGGACAACACTGTTCCGAACTTAATATATAAGACAGTATCCGTTGAATTCTGAATCTAAGATGCAAAAGCATGACTAAGACTACAATGTACTAACTACATAAATTAAACAAATAAGTACCATAAGAGCACTGAATTACACTATATTAATTAGGTCTCCTGTGAAGATGAAAGTTACAAAAAAAATTAAAATATTTTTAAAAATAATTAACTAATTCAAATACTAATAATATAAAAGAACCTAATTAAATCTCGTCGAAATATATCAGTTCAAAAGTAAACAAAAATAGTTCATTACACAGCATTTTTCTTTTATTTTTTTTATTTTTTATAATTTCTAAAACATACGTAAATAAACAATATTTCAATTAAACAATACTTTGCATCTTCACAAGAAACTAAGGAGCATTTTTTGTCATTTTCCTACGTTTTTATGTTTTTATTTCATTTTTTATCAATAAAACTGTGATTAGATACTGCTAGAGTAGAATCTTCTTAACAGGTGATATAATTTGTCCTAAAATGTCAATACCGTTAAGCATTAAACACAGTTAAACATTTAAATTTTTTTTTTGTAATTTTATGTGCATATCTTTTTTTTTATTGCCACACCTAACTTAAAACTGAATTAGATAAAAGCAGCAGTTTCGGATAACCATTGCCATAGCCTAAGTTAAAATTGAAGCTCAACCGTTTCTGAACACATGATTTCTATTACTTTTTCTTCCTCCGAGATTTTTTAGATTTAGATTGCTTTAATGAAGGTTGCGCTAAGCCCGAAGTGCCTATTGTTCTCTTTTCCTCCTTATCACTGTCTGTGGATACAACTGGTGACGTCACATCGTCATCCGAGGACTTTTCCATCACCTCGTTGTCTTTTTCTATTTTCGACTCAACATCGATCTTTACTTCCTGGGAAGTTATTTTGTCTGTTTCGATAACACTAAAACCCTTTTCCTTCTTCGCAGGCACTTTCTCGATATCAATCAAATTATATGTGCTGGAATCGACCATTTTGCTTGCTGAACCTTTCATTGATGTGAGTATATCATCTATATTGATTTTACAAATCGGACTGGTCACTTTCACATCTGCTACCTCTAGAAGACTATCTTTCATGACCTCCAGTTTGAACTCATCCAAACCGAACTCGGGACCGTCTAAAGGAGGAAGTTCATGTAACACGGAATGGTGTTCTTCCACAAAATTTAACTCTGATGGCGCACCACACTCAGCAACTATGATATCGGTCCTTTTGCAAAGCTCTATCAATTTATCCTGCAATGATATCTCCGTAGCCTTGGAAGACTTTTGACTTTCTTCATGTGATGTATCGTTTTTAGATTCATAGTTCTGTGCTTTGGTAGATATTTCCTTCGTTGTAACATTTACCTCAGTTTCAATCTTTTTAACATTTTTAGATGCCGCTATATTGCTCCATGACTTACTTGGTGGCTCAAAGCTATTAGTATTTTCTTGACTTTTCACTTCTATCTGAGGTTGAGGTGACTTTTTGCGCGATTTGTTACCACGAGTTATTTGAATATCAGGAAAGTCATCCTCAGTTGTGTTTATAACATATACTTCTTTAGAATCTGTTCCAGCCATTTCATGATCCAATTTTTTACCCACCAGGCATGGTGATTGAGATTTTGCTTTGCTTGATTTCTGTTTAATCAACAAATCTTCCTGATTTGGATTTTCTTCAGAAGCATCTACGTTAATAATTTCAGTTGCCGAATATTTTCTTATTTCTTCAGTCTTAACGCCGGAGCTATAATCGGATGTCTCTAAGTCAAATTTATTTATCGAAGGCTTTTTGTTACATTTTTTTGGCGTTTCTGATTCTTGAATTGCTTCTTCTAAATTCTTTTCATAATCTTTATTATCTTTTATATTGATTTTCGTAGACCGTGAGTTCTTACATTTCGATAAGAAAGAGGTCGATGGGTCAAACTCTTCAAATGGAGTTGATATAGATACTAATTCGTCAGCATCTATTTGTTGTCGATCTTCTATATTGTGAATTTCTATGAAACTATCGTCATCATCCTTTGAGTGATTATCTTCTTGTATCTTTCGTGCTTTTCGGGATTTTTTTGTTTTTAGTTTAGTAGTTTCTTCGACTTCTTCCTTTAATATAGACGGTTGTTCAAATTGTGAAACTTTAGATTCATTCAAAAGCATATCCCAAGCCTGATCTTCAGTTTTTATGGTATCAGAAATATATTCTTTAGATTTATCTTCTTCGGTATCCTTATTTGTAATTTTCTTTTTCATTGCCGTAGATGGTTCATTCTCGACATCAATAGTAGGAGCATGCGTATTCAATTCAGATAAAACATCACTCGGTGTAATTTTGACTGTGCTTTCTTTTAGTTTTGAAGGCTCGTTTGAAGGTTTATTAGCTTTACAAAGTTCTGCTGGTGATTCCTTTATGGATGACTGGATAATTGTTTCAATTTTAGAAGTATTACTCGTAGGGACGCGATCCTTTGTTTCTTTCGCGCTTTTATTGACTATCTCTGGTTTTGCTTCGTCACATTTTTTGTCTGCTGTACTTTCTTGTACAATTTTGCTGTCTTTACTTGATTTTATATCCCTTCCCTTTTCTTTCTTGGGCGCTTCTGTCGTTTTAACCTTATCATCTGTAATTTTTTTATCCTTAACACTAACGTCACTAGCATCTTTCTCACTAACTGACAATTTGGTGGGAGTTTTCTTACTTCTAATTCGGGCCGTCGGCTGAATATCATCCGACCGCCTATTCGATTTTGGCAGTGATTTAGTTTTAGACTCGCACTCCGGCTCGGCACTAGCCGAGGCTCTCACACGTTCTTCACGCTCGCATACAATCCCCTTGCTGTCGAGATCCTTACTTAAACTATCATCTACATTGACACTAGCTACTGTTTGTGGGGCCCGCCCGCCGCTGTGATCGTCGCCAGTAATTCTACGCGCGTCCAGGGCCGCATCCGGCCCGCTTGAGAAATTGCTCGACAGCCAGTTTTCGACGTTGAGCGCGGCCGGTATGATCACGTCCATGCTGAGCGGCATCGCGTCGTCGGGCGAGAGGTGGGGCAGGGGCGGTATCGTCTGGACGGGAATGGTTGTGGTGCGGGGCAGGGGGCGGAGCGGGAGGTCCGGCTGCAGGGGCAGGGAGGCGGGGGCGCGGACGACAGGGCGGAAGGTGGCCTCGTCGGCGTTGGGGGCGGTGTGGGCGTCGGGGTCGAGGGGCGCTGGCGGGGCGGGGGCGGGGGCGGGGGGCGCCACCACGGTGCCCAGGGGGTCCACGGCGCGCACCACCCCGGGGCTGCGGGCGACGTGCCCGCCTCTCTCCTCGCGCGGCCACCCTATACGAAACCGAAGGCAACCACGTTAGCGTCTCGCCACGGAGGAGGTAGTACTTTAGAAGGAAGCATTACGTCAGAACCAAACAATAGAGGGTGCTCGCTTAAAGCATGGATGCCTTTGGCTTCGGTACGGCGCGATCGATAGGGCGGCCGCGTGAACGGACCCGCTGGCGGATAACACGTGGTCCGCCGGTGGTGTACGTTCCGGCACGATCCGTCCGTTCCGTCGTTTCTTAGTTAATGCTTTCTTCGTCTCCTCCTCTGATAATGCGACTTCGATCTTGTGTTGCACATGCTCGATGGGTCGTGCGTGTTATTCGTTTCGTGCCAAATGTAAAACGTGATAGTGTGTTTAAATACAACTTTTCTTTTAAAATAAACACCAAAGATATTTTGTCATTTGTATTATGAATTCTCGCCTATCTCATTAATACTTCAACGGTGTTATATGTTAAAACATGTAGAAAAAGTACGAAAAGATTATCGCCGCTGTGGGAATCGAACCCAAGTCTTCGGCATTCGCGGCCTGACGCTCTAGCCACTGAGCTAAACGGTTGATAACCACAGCGACGAAAATCTTAACGCCTTCTTTCTACATTGTTATTTAGCATTTGAAGCAATGGTGTTATATGTTATTTAAAATTTAAATCCGATTAAATGTAAGAAGCCATTTAGTTATTTCGTTTGATACATATAACGATGAGTATTATTTGATACTGTTTTATTATTCCAAAGAGATGTGATGTGGTGCGATAAGAAAATAAGCATAACATACCGTGCTCCTCTTTCATGGCTTCAGCCAAGTCTTCGCGCAGCTGCACCTCGCAGACGGAGGTCGCCCTTCCGCTCTCGGCCAGCAGAGATTTGCGCCGGAAGCTGTCCGATGGCGCAATGTTCTAGCGAACCTGTGAAACGTTCAAACCTTTGTTGAAGTGAAACTTTCTTTATTATTCTTTATTTACTTGAAAAAAACATTGCCCTTACTTTAGGATAACATTATCCTGTGTTGTAAGGACATTTTACAAACATATATTTCACGCGGACAAACACCCAGATGCCAAACAACTATCTGTGGGCCACACAAATAGTTGTCACGTGTGGGAATCGAACCCACGACCCCCGACGCCGAAGCCAATACCTTGGCACCAACGCCACGGAGTCATCTAATGATTTGACTGTCTGACTTTAAGTTTACTTTTATAAATAAATATTTAAGACACATTTGTACACAACATTTTCTAGTCCCAAACTAAGCAAAGTTTGTACTATGGGTACTAGAAAACTGATAAACATACTTAAACATACTTTTATAATAATACATACGTAAATAAATACATATTATACATATATAAACCCACTCACTAAAAATACTATGTTCATCACATTATATTTTTCCAGTAGTGGGGATCGAACCCACACCCTCTGGCGCAGGAGGCAGGTACACTACGCCATACGGGTCTACGTATTGTAACTACGTCAATATAATATCAGGCAATGCAATGAAATTTTCAGCATTTCTGCTTCCAGTTCTCGAATTAAACAGTCAATAAGCTATTGTGATACAGAGCAAGAGTCATAATGGTAATCAAAGAATGTTCTTTAAACCTAAGAGAAGATGAGAGACAAGGAAAGAGACTAAAGGCCCATTTACACGGTGCAACAGTACAATTAAATAAGCTAAATTAGTTGCATTGTCTAAACAGCACATAACATTCTTGACTGTTGAACAAGACTTGCTTCAGTTTTGTTTCAAAACTTTCCTTGGTGTAAACAGCACACACAATAATTTCTTAAGCAATTCTTGTATTCAATTGCATTCTCTCTTCCTTGGCAAAAATTAGTGCAATGAGTGAGGGTATTTAATCATTGCTGTTCTTTTGAGGATAGAAATATTGAGAAAAGGCCGAAAAAAAGTTGGAAAATATGAATAATAATATATGGATCATAATAAATAAATCTCAATGAAATATATTTAATCAGCATAATCTAACTTGAACACTTATTATTCAGCCATTTTTTTAAAAAAAAACAGCCCTTTGTAAAACGTTCAACACTTGCATGAAAAATTTGTCAACGCAAATACGTGCAATACTTGTAGCAACACGCCAATAAATTGTACAAGCACATACAAGCATGTGTTTAGACAAGGCAAAACTTGAAAGCAATAATCGCCTAGACATAATTGCATTGGTGTAAACAAAAGACCTTTGCAATTATTTCCTGTCAAGACTTGCATACAATAATCGCATTCAATTTTTTTTACTATATCTGCGTGTAAACTGTTGCTTACAATTCTTGATGGTCAATTATTGCGTGCAACTTATTGCATTCAATTATTGCTTTTGTATGTACAAGAAAATGGCATCGTGTAAATGGGCCTTTATACCCGTTTTCAACTTTCGACTCTCACTCGTCACACTTAAGGTGACACTTAAGTGGTGAAAACGAAACTAGCACTTAATTTTTCAGATGTACCTTAAAGTTAGGAATCAATGGGGAAAACGTGCATAAGACAAGGGTAGTGATCACCGTCGCTTACGGATCTCTGTTTCTTATTATCGCACAAGAGATCGTTAAAGTTTGAATATTTATACTCTTCGATGCTCTCTTGTGGTACAGCATACTCATGCGGTAACATTCGTGACAAGGCAAATGGAAAACTCTACGGTCTAAAAATCTTCGGTGATGATATTTACTGGCTGAGCCGGAATCGATGAGAACGGGCACAATGGGCCGCACGCCGGGCATGTTGACGGGCGTGGAGCGGGCGGCGCCGCGCGCTGAGCTTGTATCCACCTCCACGGTCTCAGCCTCGGACAGCGAAGAGTTGGACCTGAAACAGAATGAAACATTTTCATCAATATCAGGTCTGATCAAGTACTTATGCAGATTTGGTAAACATTTACCATTAAAACCTACCCTTGACTCTATTGTTGAGGTTTGTAATAAATATAGAGTATGAAATGAAGTTGTCCTTTTCTACTCTATTAAAGTGCTAAACAATAGAGTAAATATGGGACGATTACAAGTAACTGCTAACGCCAAAAAATGCGTTTTTATTTATTAATCACCAAATTGTAACTTTTTTAATTTAATTATGAGTATGTATTAATAAAACTAAAACCAAATGTGATATATCTGTAAACATAGTTTTATGTGTTTAGTTAATATGAGTTTTTAAAAGACCAAAAATATTTCATTATCTTGATACTGCTTTAAACTATTGACGGAATTATACAATATTTTGTTTTATCGTAAATTTAATACGATAATCGAGTCGTTTAGAATAAAAGTAAAGTTAAGTAAGCCTATACATGTCCCACTGTTGGGCAAAGGCCTCTTGTATACAGAGGACATGGCCCGCCACACGGTCCCACTGTGGATTGGCGGACATCACATATCTTTCCAAATATTTTTTGTCGTTATTTCGAAAATATGTAGGTTTCACGATGTTCTCCTCACCGCAGAGCACGTCATAAGCTAGCTCTATAAAGACTCCTTTAGTATTATGATCCTTTTGATAAGGATCTCTGAGGTCAGATAGGTAATAAATATAGTTCTAACCCAGTGCAGTTGTATGTCTTGAATACAAACTGCGGCCCCATCCACAGCCTCCGGTGGGGTCCGGCGTGGGTCACGATCTCCACTTGAGACAGCCAGCGCTCCTCTTCGCTCATACACATATCGGCGCATCTCTGTTTAATACCATACAATTATTCATAAATAACGAAAGCCTTGGCGAAAGCGAAATTAAGAAAAGAAAAATATCAGAGAATTACTAAGCCTTAAGGGATCTTGATGAAGAAAGCCAGTGTTACCATAATTTTAAGATATATAAGCTTGTACCCAAAAAGAATAGCCAAGCCAACCCTGCTAATTAATAAACTGTATCAATTATCTCCATACTCTGCAAGATTATGGAGCATACCTTAAACAACCGCCTCATAGGATTCCTAGAAAGAAACTACCTTTTCTCTTGAAGGCCTTTGATAGTGTCTGGCACACAAGCCTTATTAACAAGCTTCCAGCATACTGTATAATTAATCGGTTGAGCGTATGACTCTCTGAGTGAACAATCTCTCAGATTCGTCGGTGGATTTTGGTCCGAGTCAATGCCGGTGTTCCTCAGGGAACTATCTTTTCCGCAACTTCTTTCGACCCGCTCGTAACCAGAAGATACCGTTTCCTTAGAAAAAAAGGGCTCAGTAGTCCATACACGTGCACGCGTATTCTTCTCGGGATCCCCCACACTTACCCGGCAGCTCAACGGTTGCAGCAGCGGATTCGAAGGCGGCAGCGGCGCTAGCAAGTCGGCGGCGGCCGGTGGACGTTGCAGCGGCCACTGAGCCACCGGCTCCACTTCCAGCTCTACGGGAGACTCGTCGCAGATCTTCTCCTTTGGCACACCTGGAAACATGTCAACTTGTAGCGAATTAACGTGGAAAATGAGTGTCATAGCTACAAATAACTGTGCAGATATATAAAAAATTTGCGCATCTACACAACGGCGAATTTGATCTTGACTTTGAGATTAAATCTCACCCTGAAATTTTATTTATCTGTTAGAAAAAAATTCTAACAGATAAATAAATATTATTTCACACATATTTTGATTACATTTACATAGGTATTTTCTTCGCTCATGGTGCATTGCCAACCTTTAACACGCTGGTTATCTCACTTACTAGAAGAAGCTTAAAGTGTAACACTTCCAATTCACTGGTCTTCTAACCAAACAGGTTTTGTCTTATAGTTCTACAGTACTGGCCACACGAGAGTGTATTCTAAATACTAACTGCGGGCGGCGCGCGGGTGAAGGACGAGGTGCAGAAGCGAGCCGCTCGCCGCCATGAGGTAGAGCGAGACGGGAGATCCGCGCATCACGTGCGCCCCTCCCGCCGCCGCCCCTCCCCCTCCGGCGCCCGTCACAACCGCGCCCGTGCCGAAGCAGGCGCGGGCCAGGAGCGGAGCGCTGCTGCTCTCCTCAGACAGGGAGGACAACCTTTGGCGCCCTGTTAAGAAAACTATTATTATTATAAACTACAAAGTAACACAGCCGATACCCAGCTCATTCAGGTCTCACAATTCGAATCCCATATTGAGCTTTTGGCATTTGAATAAAGAAATTAACAACATAATTATGGTAACCCCAAATTACAGGAACTAAGACAATCAATCACTTCACCAAATGCCTTTTATAAAATAATCTTTTATAAAAATGTTTGCACAGTAACAATTTTTTTTTTACATGAATATGTGGCAAAACGAACTTGCGGGTGTTGGATGATAACTGCCGACCACGCACATTTGCAACGCCCATAGGGTTGCAGATAAATTGGGCTCCAATCACCTCACTCACCGAACGAAACGCAGAAGTGTACCAATTCACGGCGGTCATCTGCGAGGCCGTGGTACTTCCCCGGACGGAGCTGCGCATTCGTGCAACAGCGAAGACTGTCGCGCGGCCCTAAGTAAGTATAAGCACAGGTGCAGGTTTTAATTAGCCAGCTGTACCGACCGGAGCTGGTGCGCGTGATGGTGTGCGTGGGCAGGTTGGTGGTGGGGCGCAGCTGGGCCAGCGGCTGCGTGACGGTGGGCGCGGGGAAGGGCGGCAGCCGCGGGTTGGGGTACCACGCGCCCTGCCCGCCCGCCGCCGGCGCCCAGCCCGCCTCGCACACCTGCCACGTAAGGACAGACGCTCCGTAGCAGTTTCGCTTCCCTAGACCTCGATATAAAACACGTTAAATGAAACTGGTTTACGGGTTTTATCGCGTTCCCGACATTTCGAAACCTTTCCGGCGTTCGCGGTCACGGGACAGGCTGTCCTACGTCGATAGAAATATATAGAAAAAACTCGATAGAATCCGTAAACTAGTTTCATTTAATATGTATAACATTGGCGTAAAATCCAGAAGTTGATGTAAAACACTCCGAAAATTAATAAACCATTTGATACTGATAAATGAGAACGCGTGACATGCTTGATGACTGACAGCGAAGTGTGAACTGAATGCCGATTATTTTACAGTAAACCAAAAATGATAAGGCGTGCAATTGACGCCGTTACGTAATTATGTAAAGCGTAGCTCGTTCATGCTTATAGCACTTCCCACAGTGGTGAGCGCGGATTTAGGGGGATCTTAGGGGGGAGGGAGCATGACCACCCAAATCTATTTTCTTTAAATAGTTTTATTACGTACTTCGGAAAAATAATCTTTATTTTTTTTGTTACATTTCTTTGTCTTCGAGAATATTTCAGGGAATATGAGTATGGTTTTTATGGTTCCGTACCCAAAGGGTAAAACGGGACCCTATTACTAAGACTTCACTGTCTGTTTGTCCGTCACCAAGCTATATCTCATGAACCGTGAGAGAACAGTTTAGAATATTCTAAATGATCATTTTACATAGTACATAATAATTTTTTTTCCTTTTTTATCTAAATATTCTATTAATTTGTTTTCTTCCTATTTTTTAAATATCCTAGGCAAGTAACAAACTATACATGGTTACACTGCTAGGCAAAGGCCACCTCCATACAGAGTTGCATTAAAAGCGAGCACCCGGCAAATGAGCTATCACGGATCTTTAAATATCCTAATAAACTATATGTTTCATTTCATTATTCACAATATGTATGATTGATAAACAGCTTCCAGCCTGTGAAACATTCAGTTATTGGTATACATATTATCAAATTATTTCTACCCTTTTATTGGGTTAAAACAAATAATTTTTCTTATGTCGATAAGTCTATCGACTTTTCTTTAAGTGTGTGCATACACATTGGCTGTACCAATGTGGTGCGGGTTTGCAGGAGTGTTGTGAGCTACGCGCGCGGTTTGTGGCAGCGTGTGCGCGTGCGGTTTGCATTGGTGTGCGTGCGTGGCGGGTTGCGCACGTGTGTGCGTGCGCGTGTGCGTGCGCGTACGTACGGGGCTGTGCGCGGCGGCGGGCGCGTGTATGGGCAGGCCGGCGGAGCGCTGGAAGCGCGAGAGGCGGTTGACGACGCGCGGCTGCGTGTGCGTGCGCACGCCGCACGCGCCGCCGTAAGGGCTGATCGCGAACACGTGCGTAGTGCCGCGCAGGGTCGAGATCGCCGTCCAGCGCGAGTCCGCCGAGATCGCGATGTCCTGTTATTGTGTTTCATTAGAGACTACAAACATCAACATGGCAAACAGTAGTATTAAGTGCGAATTACATAGTTTTAAACGAACAGTTGAAAAGGTAACCACGACGTGTAAAAGAGATACTGAGCAACAGACACAGACATGTTAAACATATTCAGTTACTCACATATCATTCAGTCATTAACACGCTCAAGTAGGTAGTGTTTTTTTTTTAAATAAGAATAAGATACTTTTTCCGACATTTGTTTTAATAATAGAAATTATTTATTCTTTAACTACTTTACTCTTTCTCTCTTTAACATTTTTCGGAATCAAGGGTGTTCTGTGTTCTTTATTAATCCTCCAATAGATGTAATTGGAAATTAATTAAAATCCTATTAATGCGCTTTAGAGTAAAGTAGATACGTCAACATTTAAACAAATACTTTAACTTTTGTAATTTGTTAATAACAAAAATAAGGCAAGAGTAATTACAAGTAATAAAAACACGGTATTCACTTATGAAATCGTATTTCACTTCATTGTTTAACAGCTTTATTTCGAAATAATAATAGGTTCAACGTCAATACGAGAAAGGAATTTATTCTATCCAAAAATTAATGCCTATAAAGATTTTTCAAAAAAAAAAACTAATCATAAAGAGACACCTCCAAATCCCACAATTCGCATATACCGCCCATTACATTAGCTTTTAGCATACCTGCACTTTGGCCGTGGTGTCGCCCCGGTGCAGTATATAGAGGTGGTGGACGGACGCCAGGGTGGGGCCGAAGGGGTGGGGGTTGATGCGGAACACGTGGAAGTCGTGGCCGCGCCGGTCCGCCGTCACCAGCAGCATGCCGCTGGGGTCGAACTTCAGCGCTATCACCGCCTCCGAGTGGGCGACGAAATGGGCCACGATCGGGTCGCACGGCTCTTCGCCCTCCTGGCCGTCCTCTTCCTCGCTGCCCTGGGGCGGAAAGGTGGGCAAAATCAAAATCATTTGTTCATCGACATAAGAAAAGTACATTTCATTTATCGATAGTCATTTATTTGTCATTACGGTGGTAGGGCCACGTAGCAGCCTCGGCTGTTGCACGAATGGGCAGGCCCGACCGTGTTAGTACCACGACCTCACAGAAGACCAGCGTAAAGTGGAAGTATGACAAATACTTTCGCGTTTCGTCTGGCGAGTGAGGTAGCCGTAGCCCAATTTTCATAAAGTTGTCAACGCCTCTGTAACCCTCGGGTGTAGCAGATGTCCATGGGCGGCGGTATTCACTTACCATCAGGTGAACCGTCTGCTCGTTTGGCAACTTTTCACATAAAAAAAAAAAATGTTGTTCTGTAGTATATATGGGGCGACACGTCCGGTAAGGTACAACACTGCAAACATGAAATAAACTTATTAATACACTAGCGACCCGCCCCGGCTTCGCACGGGTATAATGTATTATACACATAAACATTCCTCTTGAATCACTCTATCTAGTAAAAAAAAACCGCATCAAGATCCGTCGCGTTGTTTTAAAGATCTAAGCATGCATAGGGACAGACTTGGGACGACTTTGTTTTATGCTGTATAGTAATTTGAGTTTCGTATCGGGAGTGAGGTGACTAGGTCGAGCGTCCGGGAGAAATTCCAGCGTTTTTTTTTTTTTTAATTTCCAGTGTTTTTTTTTTTTTGTTAAGAAAGCGAGCGCTATACTGGCGACAGCACCGACCTCGATGTCCAGCACGGTGACCACGCCCGGCTGCTGCAGGTCCGCGTTGGGCGGCGACGGCGACTGCGAGGTGCTCCGCCCCCCCAGGCTGTGGGCCACGCTCTCGCCGAGCCCGCGCAGCCCCTTGCTGAGGGACTTCGCCGCGTGGAGCACCGTGGCGGTGTAGCTCGTCACGCCCTCGCCTGGAAACGACGGGTGCGCGTTCAATGTTTACCCAATGGCAACATCATAATTTTTTTGGAAGCTTTCAATTACATCTTCATTTCTTTCTGCCCACACAATAGGCAACGCCTGTCCTATGGGGGCTAGTTCTTGACGATTTCCATCAAAATGTTTTAGTTTTTATTATTATTTTTATATTAATTTACTATAGATAATTACATATTTATTCGAATTATTCTTAATCTATTCCGTTATATATAACCTCTATTTATAGACAGCTCTGAGTTCGTTATAATTTTGATTTACTACTCCAATTGTTTGAAGCAGCGATTGTTTTTCGCCTTTGCGAGGATTTGATCCTGCGTCACTCTCACCGTTGAGCTACAACGACTTTTCTTCACAGCGACGTAAATCTCAACGTATTCATCTACTTTGTTTCAATGCTCGGATACAATGTTAGTTTTATAAATAAATAAACTAAAAATTATTTATACAATAGTGGGTTTTGACAATATTTTTGAGTACCCCCAATAGTTTCAAGTAAAAAGATACCTGTAGCACAGGGCCTTGCCTAATGCTACTACACTTAAAATTAACAATTTAATTGGTGCCTGCACCGGAGTGCAGGATTGCTCGAGTATATTGAATTAAAAGCGGGCGCCCGGACAATGAACTATCACGGCTAGGTATACTATACAACATAATAATTTGCATTGCTTTTATCAATTCACGTGTGACACAAGAATTTTTTTCCATTTACCGGCACCACCTTTGGGCGAATTCGACCTTATAACCGGTGAACGATTCGATTATCGCCACGCTCCTGTTTCAATAAGTCGCACACAAAACAATGAAAAGATCAACGGATGGATCGCGTTAGTAACCATAGCGAAAAAAATAGCTCGAAGCACGTAATGTGTGGCAATAAGACATTGGTACGTGAGTTCGCTCTACGATTTACGACTCTTGAGGTCAATGCATATTTGTCGGGCTCTCTATGTATGAAAGAGACAAAAGAAAGATTAAATCGTTTCCTTCTACACGACGACGTAACAAATACGTTGACTCGCTAAAGGACATGACTATTATCATGTTATCTTCTTATTAAGTTTCTGAGCTAGTCCACCAGTTTTTACATTATTCATAACCACTCGATCTAACGGGACGGCTGCGACGGATCCTTGGCCCAAATAATAGATTTTTGCTTTGTATAAAATATGTCTCCTGCGCAAAAATTAAGAAACTCTTGTTTTTCACGTGGTCGTGTAAAAGCAAATTAATGGATAAATGCAATCATATTTAGGACACAGTCCACCAAGCGACCCCACTGCGGATTGGCGGATTTCACATATCTTAGAATTTTTTTTTTGTTATTATTTTGAAAGCACGCTGGTGTCGGCGTCTGACACTGAGCTATCAAGGCTCTTATTTTAAAATAAATAACTATTTCAAGTAACTTTTTTTTTAATCTAATAACCCTAAATTGCTAGACAGCGGCATTCACGATTCAACGTTAACAAGAATCAAGATACAAGAAGAGAATACAAGATTAATCGAGAGGTGAACATGATTTTATATTCCCAATTAAAACGCGCTATCATCCGTAAAACAGTTTCATTTAACCATGTATAACATTCACGTAAAAGCAAGGAATCAATAGGCGATTATTTTTTATATTAGTCCTTTCAAGGTTACAACTTCAATTTTTTCTTTTTACTCAAATATTGAAACTCAAGCAAAGGATACAATAAAATTAACAATCTCTACGAAGAACGGCCTTTGTAAAGACAATCACTTTCGAAAAGCGCGACATAGGTACATTTCAAACAGAATTGCGAAGTGATTTTGAGGTTCATTTAAATCAACACATTACCACTGAACGAGGTCAACCCGCTTAATCCTACAATCTCAGATACTCTGGCATTGTGCAAAGAAAAACGTTTTAAAATCATTAATCCTTGAATGCACTAGCTTTAACCTGCCGTTCGCCCGCATTTTCTTGTTGAAATAGAACTTAAGTTGTTATGGAATAAAACGTCGTGTGTCACTGTGGCTATCTCTTTAGCAAATTTTATTGAAATACGTTAAGGCTACAAAGAGATAGTTAATAAACACTTACAAAGATTTAGTTATTACATAAATTTTAATCGCGATTTGCTTTACAATAGCCTTCAGCAGATTTATTTATATCGTTCACTTAGAGCATTGTGACGGGTTCTGGACGTCCTTAACTTGGCTTGATAGATCGAAAATTAGTGTTCTTTATTACAATCGCCTGGTTTTCAGAAATACAATATACGACCGAGGCATTTGTTTTCTATAAATTTGTGTTTTTTGTATAAAGGTTATTTATATTCGGATAATGTTATACAGCGCAAACATCTCCTAGTGTGCCTACCTCAATTTGCATGTTTCAATTTAGACAGTAAAGTAACATCCTATATATGTCCTACTGCTAGGCAAAGTCCTCCTCTGTATAGAGGGTATTAGTGCATAGTCTACCACGCGGCCCCACTGCGATTTTTTTATAATCTTGAAAATATGCAGGTTTACTTAGGACGTTTTTCCTTTACCACCGAGAACGTGATTAGTAAGCACGTAAAATTAACAATTTCCGGGGATCGAACTTAGGTCTCTTGAGAATATTCATTTAAAGCGAGCGCCTGGACAATGAACTAGCATGGCTCAAGAAAACAATAGCATGGCTATTTTATTTAGACAGTACGAATTAAAAGGCGGGAGTGCTTTTTTTTTTACTTTTAACCGACTTCATAAAATGAGTGGGCGGTCTCAACTCGTCAGAATATTACTCAATGATTTTCAGTGATCATAATACATATACTACCACATTGGCTTACCTGAGATGTGCCCACAAAGGTATTACATTTTAGGCACATCTCTAGATATGTGACTTCTAACAGCAGATGGATATTAGATGAGTCTGCTCATATAGGACTAACGGTTTTATTCAATAAACTAGCGGCCCACCCCGGCTTCGCACGGGTATTTAACAAAGTTTTTAAAACTAAAAATTATCATACACATAAAATATTCCGAATATTTCGTCTTTGGTGAATAATTTTATGAATTTCTTCATCTTTTAATGAAATACCCTTGAAATTACGTCATGAAGATCGAAAGACCGCTGACCAGATCATGGTTCCGCTTTAATTACGGGACATTCGGGGGTTACACGTAAAAGTGACAAAAAAGTCTGGTCTCCCATAGCTTCGGACATAAATCATCCCATCTTTGGTTTGTTGACCGATATTTGATGAGCCAATGTCTTAAAGATGGCAACTCATTTGCAACCCTACAGGTGTTACAAATGTCCATGGGCGGCGGTTATTACTTAACATCAGGTGAACCGCCAGCTCGTTTGCCACTCTATCACATTTAAAAAAATCATGTTTTATTATCTTTATTCAATATAGAAGTATTACACTTACATATTGTCAAAAACACTACTACTGTCAACATTCTCTATAAAAACGGCCAAAAAAATTATGTCTGTTTTATGGGAGCCTCACTTATTTATATTTTTTTGTTTTTTGGTATTTTTTGTTATAGCGGCAACAGAAATTCATCGTTTGTGAAAATTTCAACTGTCTAACTATCACGATTCATGAGATACAGCCTGGTGACATATGGACAGACATACGGACATACAGACGGACATCAGAGTCTTAGTAATAGGGTGACGTTTTACCCTTTGGGTCCGGAACCCTGATAAGTCCCAGTAATAATGCAATGGCTTAAAACAGGAAGCTTTAGCCATCAACCTAAATGCATACAATTGCATGGATGTCATAGTTTTGTTACGCACAGTACCTTGCTGAGGAATAGTCAAATATTAACCGTCTTCTCCTATTACGACTATTAAGGGATATTTTTATGGATCATACAATCGCTGTAACTCAGAGACCCTTTTAAGTTGGCCGTGTCTACCGTGCAACACTATATCTCTGGAGCCTTTTTAGGATGCCGTACCCAAAGGGAAAAACGGGACCCTATTACTAAGACTCCGCCGTCTGTTTGTCCCTTTGTCAACAGGCTGTATCTCATGAACCATGATAGTTACACAGTTGAAATTTGATATGGGTATTTGTTTCCCAAGGAGGGTTGACGTCAAGCAGGCGGCTGGTTGTAAAAATATAGGCAAAACCACTTACAACATGATTCATGTTGTGCCGACCCCACCTAGGTGGGATAGGGGCAGGAGGATGATAATAACTTGTATACTTGTCCCTCTATTTTAAAAGTTCGCGTCAAACGAAGTCATTTGAAAGAGGCTATTGTACTTTCGGATGTTGGTTAAAAATTTCCTGATGGTGAATGATTATTTGTAAAAAGGTTTTCTATTGGTTGTGGCGGCTCCTCAATATTGGGGGGACTAACTTTTCCAGAAGCACAGCACATACCCTTTGGTTCTTCGACCCATTTTTGGCAGAACACTTAGAGCAGATCTTATTCGTGGCTACGATTTGAACGGAAGACTGTTGAGCAAAATGCATGAAAGCTGATCTGTTACTGTGAGCTAAAACTCGATCACGAACTCTAGTCGTTGACGTTTTTTATCTTTCTCTCTAATCTCGTATACGTTGGGAACGCTCAGACCTCGATTCCCTAGTGTGAATTTGTACATTTATATTATTATACTTATATACTCTACTTGACTCTCTCCGACTTGTAAGACGATTTTCAGTTTCCGGTAAAGATTCCTCATTATGACGTATTTTTAATGTCCTCGCCTGCGAACTATTTCTAGAAAGATGAGATCTTGATCTTTTGGGCATTTTAAAATGATAAAAAATTAAACTTCCTCAGTATTTAATAATTTGCTAACTGTTGAACAGGAATTACCAGTATAAATATGATTGGAAACTTATAAGAACTACTAAGTCAGTCACTAAGCTGTTTGGATAGTTAAATTACAATATACTAACATTTTTAAACGTGCAATATCTAAGGAATGGAATGTCCGAATTTAATAATTCAAAAAGTTTTTTAAATATATTGAAACAGTCTTAAATATGAAGTAATTTATTTTTATAAGGATTAATACCGAGATACAAAATAAACAGCCTTTGTTAGCGGCGGCATTTCAATCAAAATTTTAAAATAAAAGAACACTTATTGTGGCATAACTATAATAGTTAGACATATGCTGTCGCGACACTTTTTGTAAATAATGATGTGGTCTGCAAAATCGTAGTACATTACTTTATTCTATCATCAATAGTTTTCGCAGCGCACGCGATGTAAAGAATATTTTAGGTAATTTTTGTACACCTTGAGTAACATTATTGGGAGTTTTAGTAAGGATCCCTAATTTTTTGAAAATATTATATAGCCCATGTCAAACAGGGATAATGTAGCTTCTCAACAGTGAAAGAATTTTTCAAATCGGTTAAGTAGTTTCGGAGCCTATTCGATACATACAAACAATCAAATCTTTCCTCTTTATATAATAGAAAGACTAGCTTGTTCGTATCTGTTGTTGCGAATGAGCTTAACATGGAGTAAAAAAATGTGTGTACCCATTGTTTGTGGAAAAGACTTGGGAGTTAATAGTTGTCACTGCCCATGGCAATGTCATCGAGTTGGTCGCATTGGGACTCTGAAATGTTAACAAAGTGCCGTGGGCTCTCTGTTCCGGAGTAAAAACAAGGATCGCTACACACCCTCGCAGCCGCCGCCGCTCCGCTTGGAGGGGTTGAGCTTCCTGTCGGCGTACGCCAGCCAGCGGTCGGCGAGCGCGAGCGGGTTGGCGGGGCCCGCGCCGCCCAGCGGGCAGGGGCACGGGTAGCACGTGGTCACCGCCACGCGGTCCTCCAGCGTGGCCGCGTCGAACACCGCGAACCGCTCCGCGAACGACACCACCACCGCCCGCTTGTTGGCCAGCACGTCGATGATCGGGCTCTTGAACTTTATGCTCTTCACCTGCACGGGGCGGCGGGAGGCGGTGTTAAATCCTCACCAGTCCTTACTAGCCCTTAATAGTCCCTTAATAGTGTATGGATGGATGTTTGTTACTCTTTCACGCGAATACTGCTTAATGGATTCTAATGAAACTTAACAATAACATAGCTTATACATCAGAACAACACATAGGCTATAATTTATATACATATTTTTATGTATATCTGTCCTTCTGTCTGTGTGTTACGCCTTCAGCCAATTCTACGCAGACGTAATCGCGGGTAGCAGCTAGTAATTTATATGACAAAACGTTTGCCGGGTCAGATGTATGTATACATTTTTGTCAATCCTAACAACTGTTATAATACGTCATTGTGGTCGTCGACTAGTCGATCTCTCTTTCCCTAACTCATCGTAAATACCTGATTAAACATGGGAAAAGTGGAAGAAAAATTTTTCGCCGCTGCGAGAATCGAAGCCACGAAATACGGAATCACGCCCAGACGCTTTAACCACTAAGCTAAACGGATGATTGCAACATCGACAAATGCCTTAACGTATACAATGCTTGACACATCTATTGTTATGTCCTTTACGGGCACACAAACAATTAATCAAATATCCATTTTACGACGATAATTCGAAAAAGAGATGTTTAGCTTAGTGGGTTCGATTACCACAGCGGCAAAAACGTATCGTACTTTTTCTACAAAATAAAAAAAATTTATATTTCATCTTAAGTGCAAAGATTTTCACTTTAAAGTTTTTAATTAAAAATATCCTGACCCCAAATTAAATTAGGAAAACTCAAAGGCCCTCTAGCAAATTTAAAAAGACAGAAATTTAATTTTGTAATGTTAATAACCGGGAATTAGTCTCTTAAATGATCCTTGATCAACAAGTGATTTACATAGTTAAAGTCATATCATCAAATAAATAAATAATTATTAGAAAAATTATAATAGTGCTTAATAGACGATAAAATAAAGCTAAAGATGTTATGTAAAATCATTTGATAAGTGAAAGACTACAAAAAATTACTATAAACAGTTTTACTCAATAAGTTAGTTACTATAAAGTAAATTATGTATGTTATGTATGGCAACAATAACACAAAGTGTTTTAGTTGATAAGACAACTTTTTATTTGTTGATAAAGCCAGCATTGCATGATCACATAACATCACTAATTTTTCAAGCACCTTTCCACTTTTAAAACTTTAGCATCCTTTTATTCTTAGTATGAACTTGTGTAGATATCATTTTGGTGCAAACACGCAACAGATAGAAACATATGATGATCAAATGCTTAGAGCAAAACATATAAATGTATGAGAAATAAATGATATCACATTTTTGCTAACAACTTCATTTGTGTTTACAAGAGCAAAAATATAAAGACAAATAGTATTCTCAAAGTGATATGAAAGATGACAGTATTATTTAATCAATCATAAAAATGCAATAAAAACTGTATTATATATGTAATATATAGATATGCCCCGTTGTGGAAAACTTAACGATTTAAGTAACGAAACAAAGAAACTTGTGTGGCACTCACCTGTTCGCCACCCCTTATTGATATGAAACTGAGTGAGCAAAAACTCGGACCAGGGCTTGCGGAATCGCACAAAGCGATGAGGGGCCTCTTCGATGCAAAGCAATCGCCGTGCTGCGGAGTTGGCAGTATACGGAGCACCCTCACTGTGCCTTGTCTCCATGAGAGAACCTCCTGAGCTTCGCCGGTGTGCGGTATCAACCATACTTGCACTCCAGAACCGTAGCCCAAGATTAGTAATAGAGGCGAAGTGTCTTTTTCACTATCGCCTTCCGGTGTTGGTTCATTGATGTCGGCGGTCTCGAATCTGATCAATTAAGTGTCAATCTTAGTGATTACAAAAAATCCTTTTTGTTTGTCATAACAGCTACATACTTATAAATGTTTCTGTATATATATATATATATATATATATATACAGCGTGTCGTTACCATCGCAACAATAAATGAACACACGTCTAACGCTACTTGCCAATAATCATAAAAAAATATTAACGTTAAACAAAATCCATAATTTAAAAAAAATATTTTTCAAACAATCAAAATTAAGTAAAAAAGAAACAAAATTTGCAGCCTATACAACTCGCGCCACAGCGTCGTATTACAAGCCTCTCCTAACAGTACGTTTTGTCTCTTTTAAATTCATTCAACCCATTCATGTGCTTTGTGACCTTTACAAATGAACTTTACGTTACGCTTTTATAGGTAAGGGTGTTCTAAAATTCTTTGTTTTGGAAATTTAATAACTCTGTAAATATTGATGTTTATAGAATTTAAATGTTTAATACAACTTTAAAAAGCTATCCCCTATATGTGTGTTCATTTATTGTCCCGATGGTAACGACACGCTGTATATATTAATATTCAAACACGAGTAAGTAGTTGATTGAATTTTTCTCTTCAATTATTATCAGAATTATTTTAATGATTGTCCTTAGCATGCATTATTTAAACATTTTACCATCTTTCTGCAATAAGATCTTATATTGTATTATCAGAAAAGATAAATAGGAATTTATTCATTTATTAAAATAAAGAATAATTTTCTGTGTTTCTTACCTTGCCCACTGTATGACATCTTTGGGATCTAAGTTGGAGGAGGAGGATAGGGTAACATCATTAATGAAACCAGACACTGCATCAATGAGGCCACGGTCACTTGGCGGCTGGGATGGTATGGTGAGTGGCCCTCCAGAGCGCACATGCCGTGGCGACTCGGCTGACATGATGGACCAGGACCTATGGAATAATCCATTACGAATTCTAATACATCACACTAGTATACCCCATGGAAAATAGTATTTAAAAAGACCATTTTAAAGTAAATTAACTAAACAACATAAACAGCAACTATATCTGTTTAGCCCACCTAATTATAATAAAAAACATTGTGTATGTAAATTGTTAAATACATAAATAAATAAGTCTTGTTAAGCATGATGCAAAACATGTAGAAAAGGTAAACATTTTAGATATTTATATTCATTCCTTATCAAAAAAAATCACAATACATTATTATTGACGAATCGAATTAATAAAACCTTTAGTCCTTTAATACAAGGTAAATAATGACGTTAATTACATAATAAAACAGGAGAATGTCGTTATTATTAATTCATAAAAACTATTTCACAGTAAATGTAACCAACACAAGCAAAAGCCTAAACAGTCGAAGGCCTAACGATTCATTGCAAAATGTATGTAAAATTGAAGCAGTGCAAACATTAAGGTCTTTGTATTAAGCCAACTAACTTTAGGGCACCCGAGGACAAAGGAAATCAATGAGAGTTCATGTATGGAATATTCTTAGCTTCATATTGCTTTTTATTTCCAGTATATTATTTAAAATAGATTTCTGAAAACTCTCTAATAGGACACATACCTTATTAAATAAAATTGATTTCATTTTAGATCCATTTTTGCAAGACAATGTAATTGCGTAGTTTAACTGGCAATTGATAACAATGACGTCACGGAAAATAAAAACACTAAGCACTATGATAGGTGAGCAACAATTTCGTTTTAACTAATTTTAATAAATTAATTGTTAAGATTACTTGTTTTTAATAATTTATTTAAAAGAAAACATTAAACGTTTTTGACAATCCCTTACGCCCACTAGTATCGTTCGATTGTATATGTGTATAGGTGTTAGGTGTTACAAAAATAACACAACCAGCTGTATTACACTACGAACGAATGGAATGAATATAGATAGTGAAGTTAACATCAGACAATTGAATATACCAAATATTACTGGAACTGGTACGTAAAAGACCAAATATTACCAGATTATAATTAAATAAAGTTTTAAAGCAATTTGGTATTTTACAGCCTATTTTACAACTTTTTAAAATTTTATTGATTAAACAGCTAACTTGAAACGTAAAAATCATTGACAATTCAATTACAAAATACAATCCATTGACATTTTATGCTACTACGCCTGAAGTGAAGCCACGAAAAGGTCACAATTGGGACAAATTGACTTTAATTTACATTAGGCGGGGTGGCGAGTAAGAAGCGGTATCATAATTTTACAATGATAAAAATGCCATCGTGTTTTTAAAAGATGTACCAAGTACTAATCTTAAGTTAACAAAATTCAAGCGATGTCATATAATGTACATTATTCAACGTATCTTTGAATTGTTAGTATATTTTATTCATATTTTATTTTCCTCATATTTTTATGTATTTAGGTTATAAAATAAAGAAAGAGCCAGCAAATAAGTTTGATACGGGAACGGGAATGACGCTCCTCGAGATTTGTTCACACTTAAACTAAAGTGACAAACACTTGCCGTCCACTTTTTTCTTATTGCCTTATTTAGGATATCCTTTTATTACTACTTTAACGAAAAGAGGCAATGTGTGCTATCACTCTGTTGGGAATAGTACCACATTGGACCGGTGATTTTGTAAGCGTTTACAACCTATAGTATAAAATATCATTGTGTACAACACTATATACTGTACGATATAAAATAACTATTGCAACGAATTCTAGATGGCGCTTTAAGATTTATACGATCGATTAATAATTAAAGTAAGTCTTAAAATTAAAACATTTTTTTATAGACAATTTCATTCACGTAATATTTTTTAAACTTTAATTGTCATAATCTGTGCATAGCATTAAAATGTAACACTAAAACTAAACTAAATAGACTTCATATATTTTACTGCGCCTATATTTAATTAATTAGACATAAACCTTAATTCTTTACAGGAAAAAAAAATGGATAGGCGAAATTACATAATCTTATACTTTTTAACGACTCACAGTGAAACATTAGCAACTAGTTATAAAGAGAAAGGATTAAATTTTAACGTACTTTTTATAATTGTTGATGATTTACGTTATCTAGACTGTGAGAACGTTAACTTTCCACATATTAGGGAACTGGCGTTAAATGGAGTTATTTTTAAAAATTCATTTGCTCAGGTAGGAAAATTTGATACTGAGTATAATAATAAAATGCATTGCTTTTACTTTTATCAATTTTCTTATTTCTTACAGCAAGCGCTATGTGCTCCGAGTAGAAATTCAATTTTAACAGGTCGTCGGCCTGATGCATTATCCCTATACGACTTTAATAGTTACTGGCGATATGATGTAGGCAATTTCACGACATTACCTCAATTATTTAAAGAATCCGGTTACAAAACATATTCTGTGGGGAAAATTTTTCACCCTGGTGCAAGTTCAAACTACACTGATGATTATCCCTATAGTTGGACACAATTCCCATATCATCCTCCATCAGAAATATATAAAGAGGCCGCGGTGTGCAAAGACGAAACGAGTAAAAAATTACATAGAAATCTTGTATGTCCCGTAAAAGTTAATGAACAACCCGACCAATCTTTGCCGGATATACAATCGCTTACCTATGCAACAACGGTTTTAAAAGAGACTAAAGACAAACGGTTTTTTATTGCCGTTGGTTTTCATAAACCGCATATACCTTTAAAATTCCCAAAACATTATTTAGGTAAGTTGTTTTACCTTTTAATCTAGTTACTTAATATTTATTCTTTTAATAATAGGGCCGTATTGGAATATGACTTATAATTGTATAAAGAGAGAATGTAATCACTACGTTTATGTTGTATACAGAAAATTATTTTCAAAATTTTTTGAGCATTTGAACTCGCAATAGATTCCGAACTTTTAGCCCTATATAAATAGGCAGAGTTTAAGCTTGCAAAGTCTTTAGTCTCTAATACTTTCAGATCCGTTTACACTAGCATTCATTTCCAGTCCTTTTCACAAGTTTGCATTGCGTGTTGCTAATCTGGACTTTTTTTGTAAAATTACTGCTTTTTTTAGACAAGATTCCACTAAAAAACGTGAAACCACCAAATTATCCATTTAAACCGGAAAAAATGCCACTAGTAGCATGGCACCCTTGGTGTGATGTACGTAAAAGGGATGATATACGAACACTCAACATATCGTATCCTCTAGGAACTATGCCACCTGAATGGACAATCAAAATAAGGCAAAGCTATTATGCCGCCAGCATATACATTGACTATCTAATTGGAACGTTAATGCAATACGTGAATACAAGCAACACAATCGTAGTTCTAACCAGTGATCACGGTAAGTAGTACCTACATACGTTCATAATTCATACGATTATTTATTTACTGTAATTTCACATTTTCATATTTACTTCACCTATTTTTATAAAAAACAAGCTATGAAATAGGTCACGAAATAGTATAAAAAAAATGACAAAAAAGAGGTTACCTACGGAGTTTCTTCTGCCTGTTTCTTCTCCGTTAGAGGAACCTCATTTCAAAACGGTGGTAAATTTAAGAAATGACTCGATAAATGAAATGTATATTTCTTATTTCGATGAATAAATTATTTGATTTGATTTATAAATTGATATAGATAAAAAGTTTTATATGATATGAATAGATAAATTGTTTTCACATTCTGGCGAAAAGTTTTTATATTGTGCTGCTCACGTAACAAATAAAGAAAATAAATTTTATAAATATCCGAAAATAAAAACTTTTAGTGAAAACTATAGCCGAAATTTAGAAAGCGAACATTAGACATTTACTAGATTATTAAACTCGACATTTAAAATTGATATAAACGTATTTACTGATTTGTCGTATGTACTAAATGTGTTATTTTACAGGTTGGTCCTTAGGCGAGAACGGTTTATGGGCGAAATACAGCAACTTCGACGTAGCTCTAAAAGTTCCGCTCATTTTCAACTTTCCGGGTGTTTTGCCAAAAACTATAAATACACCTGTCGAACTAATCGATATATTTCCAACATTAGCCGAACTTGTCGGTATAAAAGAAATACCAAAATGTAAAAATTCGAAAGATAAATCGAAGATGTGCTTCGAAGGAAAAAGTTTAGTTCCGTTAATGGCGGGAAAACGAAAACATGGAGGCTTTGCCATAAGTCAATACCCTCGGCCCTCCGTCAGACCCCGTAGAAATTCAGACTCACCAAAACTGAAGGACATTAAAATAATGGGATACAGCATAAGAACACAGCGTTATCGGTATACTGAATGGATATCTTTTAATAGTACTTTGTTAACGAGGGATTGGAACAAAGTTTACGGAATAGAGTTGTATGATCACTTTATAGATCCCGATGAATCGAATAATATATACGAAGAGCCGAAATATCAACAAGTGAAAACAAAATTATCTCAATTGTTAAAGAAGCAAGTGGAGAATAATAACTAGCACCTTTTAACAACAATTTATCGCACGCATAACATTATATACAATAATACTTTTTCCATTACATCCATAATTACGTATACATAATGTGCATACACCATAATAATTTATAATAAAAAGATATTACAAGTATTTCAAGGTTTTTTAATATGAATGCCATATTCACATTTTAACCTGTTTTATAACGTTTCTACGTTATTTATCTTTGGATTTTTTACAAATTACAATATAAATTGTATACCATATAATTGTATAATCCACATTCACTGGCTTTTACTTTCAATATTATAATAAATAATATTTACTTAAAACTAATACATATGCGTCGGGGTTCATATCTTAATAATTAAGACGTCACACTAGACTTCTTTTTTCCTCTGGCACGGGCTTCCTTGAGTTCTGCTCCATTTCTATCTGCTTGAACCTGGCGTACATGGCGCTGCTGCACAGAACGATCAGATTCGAAGCCCACCAGAGGGCGTTCTTGGACTCGTTGTACCATTGTGTTGCTATTACCGTTTGGGCGCAAGCTTTCGCGGTACCGGATATGTTGTGTGTTAAAGGCGACGTAACCTGAACACAAAAAAAATAACGAATCAATCGAAGAAGGTTTCATCTAAAAATGGAATCACATACAATCAATACCGCTACATCGATATCTTTTAAAACATATCACCATTTCATATCGGAAAGATCTCTAATGTACCTACCTAAAGTATATCTTGTATATCGCGGTATAAAGTCTCTTCGGATTATTTGTCGCGTATAGCGATAATTCTTGACCACGTTGTCTTGTTTCCGAATCTAATTTTGGTAGACGTATCACAAGGTTCGTCTCATCGATTCATGATGATGAATTTCGATACAAAGGTGCCTTTAAGTTTGATGAGGATTATGAGAAAACAGTTTTAAAAAATAGTTTCTAGCCACCACTAACACTCAACGAATTCATACGAGACAATGTTGGAAGCAATATAAGAGGCAAGTTACACACCTTAATTTGAAGCGATGTTACATATCCAATGGCGAATCCGCAAAGCCCGCCAATCACCATCTGCGTCCAGAAATACGAGCTGCCGAAGCCGTTGTACTTCAGCAGCACCCCAGCCTCGCCGTTGAGCACGATGAGTGGGAGGAACAGAACGATGGAGTAGGCATTGTTGTAGTACGAGAGCAACCACACCTCCTGGTTGACGCTCGGCAGCACCCTCTTAGTGAAGATTGAGTACAATGAGAGAACGAGAGATCCAATAACTCCATATATCGTGCCTACTAGCGAAAAGGAACCTGAAAAGGAAAAACGCCGATATTTCAAACAGAGCTATATAGAGCAACCATTTCATTGCGAGAGCAGGACGGCACTGCTGTGCCTTCTGCCGGTTCGGCGAATTAACTACGCTCCTGACGAGCACGTACCGATATGGGACGTATCGGTTGTTATTATCGCAATTCATAAATTTCGCGTATCATGTTGCGATGTCACCGAACTCGGTAGGTTGATCATTTGAAAACGACGAAGTCAATTTATGAAGTAGATTTATCGTTTTGTTTTTTTATGGGAAAGGAGGCAAACGAGCAGCGGGCCACCTGACAGTAAGTATTGACCGTCGTCTATGGACACTAGCAACACCAGATGAGTCATAAATACATTGACGTGAGGAAGGAATAGGCTCTCTTCTTGGAGGTCCCTTAGTCCTCTCTCGTCTTACATATATTTTTTTTATTACCAAACGTCATTTATCCTTGATAAATGATTGCCCTGTATCCATCGGGAATAATTGTTTATATAGCTATAACTTGTGGTTCTTGATAGTATCTACATACACACAAAATTAATACAGCACTCTTTCTTTAATGTGTTATTCGTACGGATAGTACAAACGAATTATTATTAGAACAAGATTAAAGAAAAGGAGTGATTATGCATTTGATGACGCTAAGCCAGAGTAAACAATAGTATTAAATAAATAATGTAAGAAGTGCTTTATTCTCCACTTACTCATCTGTTACTATTGTGCAAATTCTAAAAAAAATGTTAGCGACACATCTTAATGTACTAAGATAAGAAAAATGATTAAGCTCAATTAAAGATAAAAGTTGATGGAGTAAAATGTATATCATATGATACATGTAAATACACTAGATATGCTAGTCTGATAAAAAATATATTTTGGCTTTATTATTAATGTGTATAAAGATAAATATAATCTTGTTATCGTTTTTATTCATCGTAATTCATATGCTGTGATAAAGCCACTATTGGTAAATAAAACTATTTTACAGATTTTTTTTACGATTTCATTTGAGCTTTTAATTTTTATCTTATTAATTATTGAATCCATAAAAGGGTCCAATGTCCAAAGGGACAGACTGATTTTTAACAGATATTTTTACGTAAAAATTTCATCGTAAGTTCCGGCCTTTAATCTAAGCTTCTAGTCCCGGCATTTAAGTTGAACATTTAATGACTTCATTCATTAGAGTAACTATAAGATTTTTAACTGACTTAATAGGAAAGGAGGCGAATGAGCAGGCTGGCCACCGGGTGGTAAGGGTTCACCGCCACCCATGGGCACTGTCCAACACCAGAGGAGTCACAAATTAAGTTGGCAACGCATTTGCAAGCCTACGGCAGCTGCAAATGTTAATGAGCGGCGGTTACCAATTAACATCATGTGAACCGCTAGCTTGTTCGCCATCTTCTAACATAAAAAATGCGTTGCCGGCCTTTGAGGATGGGATATGCTCTCTTTTTGAATATCGAATTTTAGAAATACCGCTGTCGACAACTGACCCCACAACTTGGTGGTGCGTGTCAAAATGTTACGTAAACAATGCACGCATCGTACGTTGACGAAATTAGTTGGTATTAATCAGAACAACTCAGAACACTCCCCGTGATAAATTCGATAAAAAACGCAGAGTCATCTATTCGCAAGGGATTCGAGACGATTGGAAAAGGTCTTGGTCGCTGACGCTTCCCTCAGCCCTACGATGGATGCGGTCAAATGGAAGGAGTTGATATTGAGGCGCCCCAGCACAGAGATAAGAACAGTACTCTAATACTGCCTCCCTCTACCCAGGACACTACCCAGAATTTCAATCGAGTCTTTGGCAACAAGGGAAGAGCCTTCAAAAAAAGATGACACGACAAAGGGTTTGGTCTTTACGTTAAATACGAACTTGTGTGTCCTTGGGGTTAAATTGGACTACATTTAGTTGGCCGATTCTGAAATGTTTCTTGCCCATTTCTAAACTTTAGACACCAGTAATCCTTACTAATATTATAAAGGCGAAAGTTTGTATGTATGGATGGATGTTTGTTACTCTTTCACACAAATACTACTAGCTTATACATCAGAATAAGACATAGGCTATAATTTATATACATAATTTTATGTAGATCTGTCTCTCTGTCTGAATGTTACCTACAGCCTATTCTACGCAGACGTAGTAGCGGGCAGCAGCTAGTGTTAAAATAAATTAAAACATCTCAGTGTCCCATGACCATCAACCATATAAAATTTCAGTTCTGTATATTTAATTAAGTAGTCTCCCAGCAATTACTTTAAATTACATAGCTATTATATAGCTATGGTAAAGGCTGATGAATAATTTGTTTTGCTTTAAAATACCAACCTAGCAGGTTTTCCTGATCCACTCCTAAATAGAAGCCAAATATGATGAAGACACAACATAGAATACACCTTAATGAGGTGTGTTGGCGTAGGAGTATCCAGCTGAACAGCACATTAAATACTGTTGTCAATGACCTGCCGATGTAATAAAATGCCACACCAACATATTTCAAACACATATTATTTGTTGCTATCATTAAAGTAAACATTATGGATAGTGGGATCACCTGAAAGAAGAAAAATCAAAATAAATGATTCCCTGCAGCAACATCAAAGGTCTTACTTTAGTTTTGGAAAATATCTTTATCATATTTATCACTCAACAATTACAAAATACAATTTTTTGTTGAAATTCAATAAACTCTTGTGTTATTGCTTATGTTAAGCTCTTATCTAAACCACTATTGTATGAGTTAACAATCTAAAATAAATTTCAACACTCACTTTTCACAGTTTTTTGATATTTTCCTTCACAATTTTTTTTTTCTGTCAATTTAATAAAAAATTACAATTTTAAAAACAAGAATTAAATACTTATAAATTATTTTTAATGGTATATGTTTTATTAACAATTTTAATGCTGCAGACATAAATTCCTTTTCATTTGTGAGGATGATTATAGGGAATTGGCTTAGTCAAATTCTTAAACAAATTTCAAGTTTGAATTATGTGAATTCAAACAACATTACCTTTCTTACAACTTCTAAGTTCCATGGTGATCCTTTAGGAAAAATAAACACACCTGGGATCCCACCGGTCCTGCTCAAGGTAAAACATATTGTAAAAGATACCACACATTGAAACCATGTTATAAACAAAGGGGCCTCCAATGACACAGAATCACTACTCAATAATGTCTTATTTACAAATACTGTAGCGATAGATATCACCCTGAAAAAAAAAAAAAAAGAAATAAAAAGTGTTTATTAACTCTCATGTTAAAATTAGCAAATAACTTAATACCAGTTAACTAATCCAGAAAACATGTTTTTGTAGAAAGGTAATGGTTGATCATTTTTATCATTTTCAACCACCTTAAAGAACTGGTTATTTTTTAATTTAACGCTTACTTAAAGGTTTAAATGAAATAAGGCCTCTATAACTTGAAATACAAATAAAAATAATTAAAACGTTTCACTCACCAATAACATGAAACAACAATAAATATTTTTATATACCTCGAACATAAATCACCTTGGTGTTCTTTCATTTTTTGAACTATTTATTAGCTAATTAATAATTTTACTTCAAAATAAATAAAAGAACCAAACTATTTGACTATACCCTGTACATATATGATAATATATGACGTATTATGTCAATGTCAATAAAAGCTAGCAATTATCTATCACTAGGTTTGGGTTTGGGTACTTAAATCAGGGGGGGCTCACTTAGAACAATGTCAAATTTTATGTTCGACAGCGACATCTGGAGTTTGGTGGAAACAATAAAGCTTAGCCGCCATTTTGTCCTATATAGAGCTTGTCAAACTTCATTCATTATCAATCATCTTCTGCTGCATTCGTGTTGTTGATGTTTGATGCATTTAGAGGTTAACTTTTGGTTAACTGTAACTCAGTAAAATTTTGTTATTATGTTAAAACCGTCATCTTTCTGTTTGTTATTAATATTCTTGTTTATCGTTACATTGTTTTGTTGTTCATAATTGGTAATTTTCATTCTATTGTTAAGATGAGTGGACCTCCGAAAAAATATTGTATTTTTGGTTGTGATGCTTTAGGTAAGGCTTTCAACCATCATTATTTCAAAATACCTATTTATACATTAATATATGTTCTTTATACTAATTAAATGTTTCCTATTTAAGTTGCACACGGTGTACCCCAACACCGATTCCAAATCCTGAGAAGCGTATTGGAGACAAACATACAGAAACTGATCCTAAGAAAATATATGCTAATAAAAGGTTTTGTGATAACCATTTTGATTCAATGTATAAGACTACCGGAGGTCGTCTTAGTTGGTCAACAATCAATACCAACCATTAATTTGAATCGTAAGTGAAATTTGATTCTTCTTCTTCTAAGGCAGTTGGCGGTCCATATGATATCGTGACAATAATGATAAAGAAACAAATGGTTTGAAATATTTAAAGCATTTTTGTAAATATTGTAATATGTAACGTTGATTTTTGTTATTAAATAATTCTGACTTTCTATTTGTTTTTAATTTTTTATTTTGACATTAAAAGTCTACTAACTTTATAAATTTTAAATAATTGCAAACATCTATTGGCTCAGTACATTGATGTTGGCCCATAACAAGGTTGCTATAGGCCTTCTTAGCCATAACCATATTGTATATCTGAAACTCTAGCAAAATCCAATATAAAAGTTCCAGATAATTTTGGGTTAATATTGGATGGGTAGGACAACACACTACGACAGGTTTTTACCTGGCCAAGCCAACACTAGCTGAATCACATACATCTGTATGTCAGTTTCTCTTGAACAGGGTGTACTATATGAGATGAACTATAGTATTGTGTTCTAAGTCTGCGTAAACTAGTAACTATGATATCAACTATAAAATAAATAAAAATGTTTTAATGTTATTTTGCAGGTATGCAGCAATCACTATTAACATTTGTTGAAATTGACCATAGTTACTCCGGTCCAAGAAGAGAATATTCACAATCTAAACCTTTGGCTAATATATTCCTGGAACTTCTCTATGTAAAGTGTCACTAGGTGGTGGCCCCACTGAATATCAAATGCCATCTAGTTCTACAACTTCAAATAAAGAGAACCATTATGATCAAAAATCTTCAAATAATTTTGGTGCAGGTAATACAATTTTCTATATTTATTTCTTAAAAAGAATAAGTTTACAAGTTTTTAGGAATTATAATTATGTACGGTAATTGTTAACAATAGAGGCAAACATGTTTTAAAAAAAAGATATTTTTAATCAATAGTGAAACTAGCCAAACTATAATTATGAAGTAGAAATAACCGAAGGTACTTAGATATTGCAAAACAATTTCCTTAAGATATAAAAATGAATTTGAGATTAACCTAGTCAAAGAAATAACTTATTTATTTATATAATAATGTAAGATAAGTGACAAATTTGGTTATAGTGTTAAAATATTTTTAATTTTTAATTTTTTTTAACCATATATTTTAATTATATTTGACGAACTAATACTCAATACACAATACAATCAGTGTTACAAATCTTGATTGGTCATCGTAGATTTAGAGAAAATAAGTTGTTAAAAGATGGAGACACAGAAAATATAGTTAATCAATCCTATAAGGGTTCTATTTTTTATATGTAAAATTGCCATCAACCAACCACTCCACTAATTGTGACTTTTCTAGTGCTTATGTAAATGAATCACCTTAGTTTCCATGAATTCAATTTGTCACAGATATGGTTAATAAATAATCTTCATAGCTGGATACTTGTTACATGTTAATACATATAAAAACATTGTTGTGTCATTAAATCTTAATTCTATTTAAATGTATTAATTCTTGATATAATCTTTCAGTTAAAATGTTCGAGTATCTGCAGAAAAATGTGTAAGACTTGGTGTGCAAGAAAAGTAAGAAAGATGCAAAGTGAAATAAGAACATTGCACCAACAAGTCAAGTCTCAAGTCACTTCTTAGGCAGGTACAGAAGTCATCATTAAAAAGTGATTTTGAAAAATTGTCTCAGAACATGTCGGAGTCAGCAAAGCTATTTACCAGGATGCAATTCATGGAAGGACTGAAGAAAAAAAGGGTGTAGATTCACTCTTGACAAAAAAATATTGACTCTCTATTTGTACAAGAAAAGCCCTAAAAGTTACAAATTAATGTGTAAGCATTTCACTTTACCATCAAAAAAATATTAAAATTATATATATTATAAAATATATAAATTTATATAATTAAAGTGATGGGGAGAAAATTGAAAAATCTGTACCAACTGTAAATAATTTAATGAGAACAATCATCAAACATCATCGAACAACATTGTGGCAATTATTGTTTAAAAAATATTCCTTTGACGCCATACTAACACGCAATTTTAATTAAGACCCACTCGAAAACTTCTTTGGCAGTATTCGCAGTTTGGGTGCTCGGAATATTGCACCTAACTGTTTGGGATTCGAGGGAGCATTTAAAATACTTTTGTTAAATAATTTCAGTAGCAATCACTCTTAGTGGCTTGTTTTCAAGAAATACAATAAATAACAATTGCATTTTTAAATGATGATTGTCATAAAAATATATAAAAGAAAGCTTTCATCTCTCATTTTTACTTATTTTGCCTTCATGGATTGTGAAACTCATAAAGAAAATTTAAAGAAATGTTTTATTGATATTTCCATTAATATAATTGTTTATACTTGGTGCAGATCTGTAAATAGAATACTAGAAGGAAAACTTGTTTATAATGGAAACAATAGAATTACTGTTCAAATTTACTGTTCTAAAGATAAAATAAAATTATTTATTTAATTTTGCACTATAGTTATTTTTTCCCATTATGTTCAAACCCGAATTACAAGAACAGATATAAACTTGTTGTCATGGTTGTAATAGAAAAAAAGTACACATCTTCTATATAAATGAAAATTTTCAGTCAACGTAATATAAACAATAACGATTTTTTCCTAGAACCCAATAGTACTTCTAAAATGCGTATTGTGTTCCAATTTGAGAAAACTTCCAGGATAAAGCTAAGGGGGGCCATTTTCAAAAATGGAACGAAAATATCCTTTGCCTTGCTACCTTTAGTAGACAATTTCAATTAATAAGCATATTTAAAAAAAATCCGTACCAGTTATTAAAATATCTTAAAAACCTTGTGTTAGTCTTTATTAAAGAAATAAGCATTTCATTTTGGTTTCGTGAATAGGAAATCACATAATATAGAGGCATATAATAAGTATACACACACATTGGCCTAAAAACTGTCAATGTGTGTATAGATGAAGTTACTCAACCAAACTCCAGGCGGCAGCACTTTCCACAGATCCAATTTTTATCATAGAGTTGCCACTCTTTCTCCTTTAGATAACTTTACTCTTTGACTTAAATTACCCTGCTTTGGAACGTCAAAACAAAATTGACAAAGACTTTATATATTTTTTATTGGTTGAAATGATGACAGGAGAAAACTTACGCAGTATTAATGATACTACTTTTCTTATTTTTCTTTTATGTTTTTCAAATCTCCTTGTAAAGAAACGTCAGTATGTTATTAAATTATCTTTGTTGTATTAATAATAATAAAAAATTATCCTATCGAAATATAAAATTTCATTGATTCGCTATAATCATAGAACTTTATAATTTTTACTTATATTCTAAAATATTTATAACTTAATCTGTTACAAAATACAAAAGCTTGAAAATATTCATACGATTTTATTATTCCTAATTTAAATAAAAATTATTGAATATAGAAAGAAATACAATTTTTGTAAATGCTAATGATATTAAGAATCATTCATGCTTTTAAACAGCTTTAGAGAGCATGTAACTTATTGTATTCATTTTTACACTCTTCGATAAATTAATAATTTATTATTCTAAAGAAACCGTTAAATTTATGAGGTATTTATTTTACTTGTGTATTAAATAGAAGTTTAAAAAATATATTGATTTTAATTAAGACCAAAGATCAATCAAGACGTCAGTTAGTGAAACAAAAGTTGGTTATGGTTAATTTGATTACATTATTTACCATAGCACACCAGCGCAGTTCGACATTACGGGGCTTGTCGTAAAATTATACGTTGATGTATTGTTGATAGTTCAGATTATAAAAACTTTAGTTTTAAAAATGGAATCAACACCGGAGGTTAAAACTTCTGAACAGGAGAGTCTTCCGCCAAGTAACAATATTTTTTTCGAAATCATATACAGTCCTGTGAACTTACTTTTGACTGTGATTATTGCTGTGTTAGTGTACAAAATATACAAAAGTAGATTTAATAAAGTTGCTGTGGAGTCACCGGAACTTCCAAAACTGCGTAAAGACATGACAGTCGCAGAGTTGCGACAATATGACGGTACCCAACCCGATGGTAGGGTTCTCGTTGCGGTTAATGGTTGGATTTTCGACGTAACTCGAGGACGTCGATTCTATGGTCCCGGTAGGTATATATTTGCACAGAAAGTATACCAATGAAGTTGGGTGCATGACAAAAATATGCTAATTAAATTTGTGAACGTACTGTGCAACTGTTTATAAATAGATTCGCCGGTGTGAGTCAGTGTTTTATCACCGCCCGGTTTGAAATGCATTGAAATCATGCATTTCGGTTACATTTACAACATGCACAAATACTAGGAATAAAAAAATATTACCAATATGGATATAGTTTGGTGGAGAAAATAATTTGTAGTTGGGATTGCAAAAAATTGATGACAACATTTCTAATACAAGACTTAAAAGTTATGTCATCAATTTTATTTTTTCGCATTTTTGAATTGACTGTCTACTTATTTTTTCTTTCTCAAATTACACTCAGACGTCAGTCCAACCGGAGATTTTGGCAATGTAATTTCTGTACTTTTCTTGAAATGTATGTGTTTGCAGTCAGTCCGCAGACTATTAAAGCTTCAACGAACAATGAACTTTTGGCTATCCAGAACCCACAAGCTTGACGGGAATGTAATTGTAATAGTATATAAATAATATTAAGCTGTAATTGATGTATATTAAATCACTGTAATTGATGTATATTTAATCACATTTCATGGATATTGGGGCTCATTTATCATTTGTCGTATCTTATTTTAACTATTATAAACTAAAGTAAAAATGTAAACTATTTATTCATTTGAATTTGTAAATTTTTTATTTGTTTGTTTTGGGCCCAGAAACATCTGTTGAAATAAATAATAATGGAATTTTGGCAGATATGATCACATTTTGTGAATAAAATAATTAAGTAGTTTTATTTTAATTATGAAAATTTGTATTGTGCTAATTTTGTAATAATAATTTGAAATTTGCATGAATACAAAATTTTAGAATTAAGGCAAATCTCATCAAATAGAAGACTACACCAAATTGAATGTTCTTGGAATCATATTCGTATAATAGAAGGATGTTTGTTTCAGTTGACCTTTAATAACAAAATTTATGTATATGTTATTGAAAAGAATTAATATATAATTCATCTTTTTTAACATATAGGTTGTATATTCTTAAAGGTGGCCCATATGCGGCATTTGGTGGGAAGGATGCATCAAGAGGTCTGGCAACATTCTCTGTAACATCCTCAGACAAGGAATATGATGACTTGAGCGATCTAAATTCTATGGAGATGGATTCGGTCAAAGAATGGGAGGCACAGTTTAGAGGTAAATTACTTTTTACCGTTGTTGTTTAGTGATAAATTAACCTTTTTTTCCATTTCTATATGTTAATAAATAAGACGTCAAAAATGTCCCTTGGGAACAATGTGACATTATATAAGGCAGTAGATCGCACTAATGACGTCCGCGAGTCCGGTTTTTGTGCATATTGCTCCGAAGCATATACACCGGCTACGGGAGCACCGTAGTTCATGCGCAACATCGACCTACATATAGACTTAGAGCTGCGCACAATCGCTCAATTCCTGCAGTCGGCGTCGCCCGATCCGTTAATCGTAAGTGCCACCGCCCCCACCGCTAGGTGCGTTCCGCCGCAGTTGGCGTAGACCGTGACACGCCCTCGATTTCCTTTACGATGAGCCGACTATCGCCATCGACAGGATAAAGCAATTATGAAAACACACCAGAGCACACCGCACTCGCCGGCGAGTGAGAAACATATTCTAGGTTCCGCCACATACCTGGCAGGTTTTCCCCTTTAATCATAGAAGCGTTGCTGGAGTTTTTTCCGCCAATTCTTCTCCCAGCGCCAATGCTTTACGAAGTGGTAGTAATGATAGTGTACCTGCCTCCTGCGCCTTAGGGTGTGGGTTCGATCCCCACTACTGGAAAAATATTGTTTGATTTACATAGTGTTTTTCTAGTGTCTGGGTGTTTATATGTGTATAATATGCATTTATTTACAAAAGAAAAATATGCTTAAGTATGTTTATTAGTGATCAAGTACCTATAGTACAAGCGTTGCTCAGTTTGGGACAAGAGAACATTGTGTAAAAATATGTCCTAAAATGTTTTAACTCTTCCAGTCAGACTATCGTCGGCCCTCTCGGGCACCCTCGAATCGTAATCCTAAACGAGTATTGAGTGACAGTCCAAGCTGAGGTCCCCTCTCGGGGGCCCTTGAGACTAGCCACTCCATGGAGCGTCCACCAAAGCGCCCTAAGAGCTTGGTGGCCTCCCAAACCGGTAACGATAATAAAAGCGTGACGGCCCGAGCTGAGGCTAACTCGGGAGCCCTCGAGCTTAGTCACCATAACGCGTAATAATAATACACCGAGGTTCAGGCTAGGCGCCCCGAGCCAAACAGTGGTATATCCTGCCAAAAAAAAACTTATTTACTTCTCCCATTCTTTGTGTAAGAACACTAAGTTACATCTCACATGTTATTAGTGTTTGTGTAATTTTTATTATTTACATTATTTCACACGATTTCCATTTGTACAATTTATGAACAAATGGAAATTGTGTGAATTATTAATTGTTATATACATTTGTATAGAAAATGTCTTAAACCATTATTAAATTTGCATATAACTTGAGTAACAAACATCCTTTCTATGGAAAATAACAAGTAGTTTTTGTCGGCAATATACTATAATTATGTAGGTGAATAGAAAACGCTTACAAAGTTGAGTATTGTTAAAATTAGAGGTAATTAGTGTTAACAATTATCGCATTTTTCTTATGAGAATGGTTGTTTGTTATGAACTAACTAGGTTTTAGATATATATCAGGTATGCCATGACGACACCGTCAATAGGTCATTGTTCTACTTATTTCAATTAGTGAAATACTTTCGAAACCTTATTTGGACCGAGGTTATAACGACATAATGCGGTAATGTGCAAAAAAATTGGTACACAAGTAGTGATGTGGTATTGCTTTAAGTACATACTGAACTATTCCTTTTAAGAACCTCTTAATTGTGAAGCAGGCCCTGAACCGCTCACCCTTGAAAGGGTTTTTAAGCGGGTATTTGTAATGCTAGACTTGAGAAACCATTACATTCTGGTCAGCCCTTCAAGACGATATCGCTTATACGGCTAAGTTCTTGGTTTACCTGTTTCGGGCTGAGCGCAAACTAAACAGGTGTTTAACACTCTTAAAACAATAAAAACGACGTTGGCTCGACTTAATTTGAGATATTTCAACGTTAGGTGATTCCATATTCCGAGAGCAGGCGATTTTGATCTTAAATCCTATCCAAAAACAATTTCGGTGGGTTAGGGTTAACCCAATTAAATAGCTTACCAATATTCTGGTTAAGCCCATAGAAGGTTGACAAGACAAACTGTTTAACCTATTCCAAAAAGTGAACGGGTTTTCCGGGCCCTGAAAATGTCACTTGGAAATGGTACCGGACAAGCATCTGATGGGACGTTGCTTTGCTGTGGTAGGGCCAGTCCTAGGTCCGACGAAGAAGTACCACGACCTCTTAGGAGGCCGACGTGATATGGAAGTGCTTACTTTTGCGTTTCATCTGGTTAATGAGGTTACCGTACAACTCTTCTTAGAAGGTTGTCAAAATCTGCATTTGAATTGCTGGTGTCCACGTTTGTCACTTCTAATACAGATATTACCGCTGTGGTAGGGTCACGCAACAGTCTTCTCTGTTGCACGAATGGGCAGGTCCGTCCGGCTAAGTACCATGACATTACAGAAGATGAGTGAAGTGTGGAAGTTTGTACTTCTGCGTTTCGTTTGGTGAACGAAGTTTCCGGGGCTCACTTTATTAAAAGTTGCCAACACATCCGCAACACGGCGGCGACGGTTATCACTTAACATCAGGTGTACCGCCTTGCATGCGACCTTCTTACATAATAAAATATAAAATAAAACGTGATCAGAGCTATCCAAAGACTTCTTTTATACCATTGAATGTAAATGCGTCGCCGGCCTTTCAAGATTAGGCCCCCTTAGAGGGCGCATAAGCCGTAGAGGTCCGAAAACGCACGGTGCGGGGCATACATCGTTAAATGATTTTTCACAATTCTTTCTTTTTATCTTTTTGTGGTGGTCAATTAAGACTATACAAACAAAAACAATATAAGTTCCCAAGAAAAAAGACTCCTTTCACCTACAGTCTATGGAATTTTAGGATTGCGTACATGTGAACAGATTACTCAGGTAATGATTAATTATAAGCTCTAGTTTCATCTAACCCAAATGCATATGCAAAGATAGAGATTGAGATATCCTTCCATCAGAGTTTACTTGGTTCCAAACATTTTGAGTTTGTCCTATACTTTAAGGTTTTTATAATTTTCAATGCGTGTAATAGCGAACATTTTGGTTCATGTCTTAATGTGACACTGGCGCACCGAAATTGAGGCACTCAAATCACACCAATTGGTGTTACACCAATTGGTTGCAATTAGACTGCAATTCAATTCGATATAGACTGCTATCTCTTTACATATCATATGTTCTATTATCATCTGTCACATTCATTTGTATATATCATATAATGTAAAGCGGAACAATTTTTAGACGTCACGAAGAATGGACATTCATCGTCTATATTATTAAACATCATTGAGGTAATAAAATCAATTATCAGGATTACGTACAAGGAATTTAACAAACTTTGTTCGAGTTTGTGAAATTCCTGATCTATTTATGTGGTCATATCAGTAGAAAGTTTATAAAATTTGTAATTATAGTGTAATAATAATGTGATATTAATACATATAAATTAAAAAAAAAATGTATTTTTCTTATTATTGCATATTCTTAGAGTTAGATACGAAAAAAGGAGGGATAACTATTATTCACTAGACGCTGCCCGCAACTACGTCTGCGTAGAATAGGTTGAAGGCGAACATTCAGACAGACAGATATACATAAAATATGTATATAAATTATAGCCTATGTGTTATTCTAATGTATAAGCTATAATATTGTAAAGTTTCATTAGAATCCATTCAGTAGTATTTGCGTGAAAGAGTAACATAGAGTCGCGTTTATAATAGTACCCGGAGGACCGAGCTTTGCTCGGTTTGTTTTTTTTTTTTTGGTAAATCGTGTATTTTGGAAATTACATTTAGATACAAATTACTGAGTAATGAAATATGCATAATATTTTTCGATCTTACCGACGTAATAATAAGAAAATATGAACTGATGTTTTTCACAAAAGAAAGAACTTTAAAAAAAAGGGAAAAT